CCTTGTCTTGTTCCCTGGCTTGGTGGCATGAAGGCCAGAACCACCATGACAGTTTTTGCCAAGACAGAGGAAACCGCAAGAGAAAGGAGAATGGCAAAAGCAGTTTGTCGGAAGAGACAGGTGAGCTTCCTGGGTCGACCAATGAAGAGGAAGGAGCAGAGGAAGCAGAGCAGGAGGGAGACCAGCAGGATGTAGCTGAGATGTCGGTTGTTGGCCTTGACGATTGGTGTGTCATCATGTTTAAGAAAAATTGCCAGAATTGTCAGTGTGATCATAGATAGAGAAAGAGTGAGAGAAGCCAAAGTGTATCCCAGGGTGTCTTGATAGGAAAGGAAGTGGAGTTTCTTGGCAATGCAGTGGTCCTTGTCCTTGTTGGGATATTGGTCTTCTGGGCAGGGATCACAGGAAGCTGCATCTGAAATCAAGAGTCTTTGTCTTAGGACTTCAGAGACATCCGCAATGAGCTTTATCCCCCCTCCCTCCTAGGATCCCAGTGTGACTCCTTTCTAGTGTATGAAATTCAAAAAGGATGATTATTTCATTTTCCTTTCACAGCGAGAAATTGGAACATGATCATTTTTCCCACATCATACTGGAAGCCCCAAAAGATGGATGCCTCTGTCAGTTACAATCCCTAACTGATATTCCTATATGGAATGGGAGGTCAGTGAGCTGGAGGAATGAATTTCCTTATTTCAGAACAGTTTCTCCCATCATGCATTCAGGAAGTGGCTATCAGATATAGGTAGATGGATCTATTTCTCTGACATGTCCAAAGATTTATAGAGAGATCAATAGTCCCAACTGAAGAGGCACAGTGAAATTAACACAAACTTTGAACGGACATACCGCTCTATTAATTCATAAAAAATATATCAGTAGTTGATTTTCCATTTCGTATGTGACAAGAGGAGTACAAAAGAAAAGTGAAATGCTGCCTTGAGGCCACCTGTTTGAAATTGGGTCAGGAGAGCAATCCTGCCAATTGTCATTTCTCAGCAGAGGGAAGTTAAACAGTTGGCAGGACAATTTGTATCTATTTCCTGAAGCATGAGAAACCTACAAGTGACCAGAAATACTCTTCATATTTGTTCTACTGAATAGCTTGATTGATCCTGGAATATCTACATTTGAAGTTCGTTCAACCTGTCTGATTAGAAGTGGTTCCTTCTGGACAAGCATCATATTGGTAGCAGCAAACCGGCTTGCCCTCTGGAACTCTTCTCTTCTCTCCTGCCTGGCACCATTTCGTGCCACACCTGGCAAAGGACATCTTCTAAGAGAGAGAAGAGAAATGTTTGAGATGGTCTATTAATTGTTTATGCATCCTATGTTGATTTTCACATGGACATCTCTATGTTCAGAAGGTCTTTAGAAGTGTAACATCAACCCGGAAACCTACTAACCGATTGGTGCTGGGGCTTGTAACTTGGAGTCTGCATGTAAGAGCAATTCTAGTCCTGAGCCTCAGTTCCTCCAAGGAAAGGGACTGCCTCCCCCTCAATTCCGTCCCCCCCCCCACCCATTTCCTCTCCCCATCTCTGCTAATTTGGTCACACTGCACTGCATACAAAGGCCACTGCATTCCACCATGCAGTTATATCCTTGCATTATGTCTTTGAACTACAACTGTTCCCAAAAGAAGAAATCATAATGTTCAAACTAAACAGGAATGATTCAGAGTTCACTGTTGCTTTCTCTAATTGCTCCTTGAGTTTCAACCAGGATTCTTTTTCAATCTTTTTATTTTACAGGGCATAAATCACGTTTGAATCTTTTGCATTAAAAGCAGAATTTTCAAAGCACAACTGCCATATTTTCTCATTCAATACACCTTTTTTTTCCAGTGAGGAAGACATCCAGTATCCCCAGGAGAGAATACATTTTCCCTGAATTCAGACATTTCCCTTCATTCTACCTTTGTGGCCCAGATGACTGAATCAGAGTTAATAGTGAAATCCTGGCCTGCAGAAGCTTCGGGATCTATTAGTCCAATTTTCATGGGGACAAAACTGTTAAATGTGTTCAAGGATCGTGCCCAATAACTCCATAAGCAGGTATTCATTAAATCAGATATTGTTTATTAATTAAGCATCTTATCATTACAGGTACAAGTCTGGAACTGAGGCAGGACCGCATGGCTGACCCTTAAGTACCCCCTGGGCGTGGCTAAGGTAAGGAGGGGTTATTGGGTTAGGGTGGACCTTGGGGGCTGGCTTGTCCAGCCCCCCTGCCCCTAGCTCTGGATCAGAGGCAAGGCATTTATTCCTGACAAAACCCCCTCTAAATGCCTGGCCAAGGTGTTCTTGTGTGGTGCATACCTGAGATGCCCTTTTCAGGAGGACACCTAATTTTGATGTTAGATACGTGTGCTGTTTATTTTGCAATGGTTTGGTTAGAATGTCCGCTGTTTGTTCTTCTGTGTCACAATGTATAACTCTTATGAATCCTATGCTTGCGAACTGTCTAACGTGTTTGTATTTTATGTCGATATGCCTCGACCTTTGACCCACTGCTTCAGCCTTAGATATCTCCATAGCGGCTTTATTGTCCTCGTGCATGATGATAGGGTAGTTCGGTTTGGCCCATATGTCTGCGAGCAGGTCATCAAACCAGACCAGGTTGTTGGCGGCCTTGGACAAACAAATATATTCGGCCTCTGTTGTGGATGTGGCTACCAGATCCTGTTTGCCTGTGTACCAATGTACTGGGCTGTTGTTTAGAAAGAATACGTAACCTGAAGTGCTCTTTCTGCATTTCACATCCCCAGCCCAGTCAGCGTCTGCATAGCACATGAGTGTGGGTGTTGTGGTGTTCTCGGGTTCTAGTGATAGGCAAGCATCGGAGCTCTGTTTTAGGTACCTCAGCACCCTTTTGATGGCTTCCCAGTGGTACACAGTGGGTTTACCTACATGTCGTGATAGCAAGTTAACTGGCAGGGCGATGTCTGGCCTAGTCCAGTTCGCAATGTATAATAGGGAGCCTATGGTGGATCTGTATAATGTGTTGTCCTTGAACGCCTCAGCCTCATTATACATGTCCTTCAAGAAATCTGGTTGCATTGGTGTTTCACACCCCTTGGCGTTTGTCATGTTGCACTTATGTATTAGTTCCAAAATTTTGTCCTTCTGTGACAGTTGGAAACCTCTGCCTGTTTTTGTGATTTGCACCCCTAAGTATTTATCTACCTTACCCAATATCTTCAGTGTAAAATGTTTTCCCAGCTCACTGGCGAAGTCATTACATTTGCTAGACTGGCCACCGATATACAATATATCGTCCACGTATATCAAAACGTACTCGAGGGAACTGTCTGACTTCTTGGTGAAGAAGCAGTTGTCGGCCGAGGTGGCTGAGAATCCCATGGACTTCAATGTCTTGGATAGGCATTCGTACCAACGTTTCCCTGACTGTTTGAGTCCATACAAGCTCCGGTTTAGGATCCAGGTTTCTCCCTTCCTGGTGTTTTGGCTAGGTGGCGCTCTCACGTATATCTCTTTATCGAGCTCGGCGTGCAGATAAGCGGTTTGCACGTCGAATTGATGTACTTCTAACCCAAGTAGTGATGCAATAACCAATGCACATTTTACGCTTTCAGCTCTGACTGTGGGGGAATACATTTCCGTGTAGTCGTCAGGGTATCTTTGGGCGAACCCCTGTGCCACCAGCCTAGCTTTGTAGAGTGCTTTGTTTCCCTCTAGCATTTTAATTTTGTAGACCCACCTAGTGCCTATGGTTGTCTTTCCTATTGGGACTTTAGAGGGAGTGTATACGTTTAGTTCCCTCAGGCTGTCCATTTCCCTCTCCATGGCTTGTTCCCATTTTTCTCTTTCCTCATCTGATAACTTCAGTACGTCCTCATATGTGTTGGGGGTTAGTTGGTTAGTGTGGAGGGATAACACAGAGTGTAAGTATGAAGGAGAGCCCCTCATATGGTGTATGCTAACAGTATGTATCTTAAAGGCCTTGCTTTTATATCATTTATAGCGCATCTATAAATGTATTGCCCTTTCTCCTACATCTGTACTCCTAGAAGGGAACTTGACATTTGTAGCAATCTGTCGTAACTATAATGTTGTAACCATTGTAATTGTGTAACTGGCACGTATTGTATACCCATATACTTCTGCTTTTGTACTTTTCCAGGTTACTTCTGTATTTGTACTTTTCCAGTTTACCCATCTGTATCTATGCATATTGCATTATCCTAGAAGGAACTGAAAGTATGCTATGATCATAAACATATAAAAACCACCTCAGGGCGTTGCTCGGGGCTCAGTATTTGTCAGGTTACTACACTGGGCCTATTGCTAGCAATATTCAATAAAAGCCTGTTTCTTTCTCTGGATCTCTGCGGTCTTGTCTCCTGATTAATTTGGGATTAGTAAATCCCGCTTCATTTCTGGCGAGCCAGCCAGGAGGCAACGGAATTTTTAGATTCCTCTGGATCGTCGCCACGCTGTGAAGGACTCGGAGGATCGGGGAAAGTCCCAGGCGCCATCGGACTCTTTTAGTCCGAGGGGCTTCCCCGTGGGGCCGGCCCTTCGCGGCATCGGTTGACGCTTCCAAGAACCGCTTAAGAGAGAGACCACGAGACCAGGCACGTTTCAATCCAGCTGGAGGGAGAAGAAAAGGACGCCGGCAGGCAAGTACCTAAACCCCTGGGATAGGGACCAGCCAGTATATCCAGCCAATGGAGGGTTGCTGGGAAAGGTGGGAGTCACCCAGGGGAATAACCACTGGAGGAGTGGGGGGGAAGTGCCTGATCACCCTTTCCCTGAAGGTACGAGGGGTCGGAGGGACCCCAAGGTGGGAGGTTTGTCGTGCACGACTGGTGTGAGTGTACCCCGCGATTCCGTCCAGTGACCGTTGAGTGTCCGGGGCTGGCGGCCAGGGAAGCGTGATTGAGAATCCTTCGTGTTTTCCTGGGAGAGAAGGACCCCTTACCTTCGTCCCAAATCCCTTTACCTACTTGTCTTGTCTGGTACCCTGGGAGGAAAATGGGTGGAGGTGGAAGTACGCCTTTGACCCCCTTGGCATGTATGTTAAAACATTTCAAAGATGCCTACATTAGCCAGGATTACGGCATAAAATGGAGTAGGCAGAGGTTGCGGGTGTTCTGTGAGGTGGACTGGCCAGAACTCAGAGTAGGCTGGCCAGCAGCAGGGTCGCTGGACCTAGGGATAGTACTGCAAGTACACCAGAGGGTCTTCCACCCCACCAGAGGTCATCCTGACCAAGCCCCATATATTGATGTCTGGCGTACTCTGGTACAACACCCCCCCACTTGGTTACAGAAGTGCAAAGCTGCAAGGTGTAGGTTATTGGTTTCCCGCACCTTGCCACATAAAAAAGGAAAAAACAATCCCCACCATCCTTCCTAGCTGCCCAGAGGAGTTGCCCAATCCGCCGCCATATCTCCCTCGGGGGAGGGACAAATAGGCTTTAGGGCAAGCACCTCAGTTTCTAGCAGTGCAGGGGAAGGAGCTGATACCTTCCTGAGAGCCCTCGATGACTTGGGCATCCCCGACTCACCGGGGGTACCAAGCCCAGCTGACCGCTCCGCCCAAACCAGTTTGGATGGAGCAGACAAGGGGGCCCGCCCGAAGGAGCGACAAACCCAGAAAAGCGAACAGATCACCCCCTCCTCTGATGAATTAGAAGGAGCAGTGGGGGGACAAAAGTTGCCCCTCGGGGAACAGGAAGGCCCCATAGCTGATCGAACTCGCTCAAAGAATACCAGGCAGAGTGAGGAAGCTGATCCGTCGGAAGACGGACCGGCTTTCCTGAGCCCTCTCAGGAGGGTAGATCAGTCCGTCGTTGAACCAAACAGGGAGCCCGTAATGGTCTCTGTGTTTCAACACGTCCCATTTACCTCCTCGGACCTTTTGAACTGGAAAATGCATTATGGTCCGTTTTGTAACAAACCAGCAGAGGTTACTGATTTGATTAAAACTATTGTAGATACCCACAATCCAACTTGGAGGGATCTACAACAGTTGATGAGTACCATCTTCAATCCGGAAGAGAGGGAAAAGATTAGGAATGCTGCCCTTAAAATCTTAAAAGGAACTATGCCAGCCCGGGATACGACTTTTGAACACTGGGTGGCTAGAAATTTTCCCTCTGAAGATCCAAGATGGGACCCTTATAACATCGAGGATTTCAGGTCCCTTCAGGATTACCAGCGCCTTGTGGTGCAGGCGATCCAGGTGGCGGGGAAACCCACTACCAACATGTCAAAACCTTCTTTGGTGATCCAAGGTGCTAGTGAAGCCCCAGAAGCCTTCTATGCCCGGCTGTTAGATGCTTACCGAATGTACACCCCCATAGACCCTACTCAGCCTGAAAATGCTCGCATGTTGGTAATGGCCTTCATTTCTCAATCAGCCCCTGACATACGGCGAAAATTGCAGAAACTGGAGGGAGCTCTTGGGAAACCCATGAGTGAACTGATGGAAGTTGCAAGGAAGGTTTTTGCGAACAGGGATAAAATTGAGGAACAGAAGCAGGAGCAAAAGATGCATAAAAAGGCAGAATTGCTTGCTGCAGCTTTGATGGGCGGACCTGTGGCCCGCGATGGGCCAAGAATGGGCAGAGGCTTGAGGGGTCGGGGGGACCCCTGGGGCGGCTCAAGGGGCCAGGGGTCAGGGGGACCCCTGGACCCAAATCAGTGTGCCATATGCAAGCGATTTGGCCACTGGAGGGGAGAATGCCCTGAAAAAGAACTGGAACGTGCCAAGGAAGGAAATCGGGGAGGTTATGCCCGAGACGGCCGAGATGGACGAGGCAGACCCTTTCGAGGGAGGGGACGAGGGGCGTCCAACACCCCCCTCATTGGTCTGGCCGAAGTCGAGGAATGGGAATGAAACGGACCGGGCTCGGCACGCCTCCCTGAACCCATGGTCAGTCTCACAATTGGAGGCAAGCCTATTCCCTTCCTTGTAGACACAGGGGCTACCCGATCCGTCATAACCAAACCCTTGGCCCAGCCCTCCTCGCATACCATCATGGTCCAGGGGGCCACAGGCCAGCCAATCAAACGCCCATTCCTCAACCCCCTAATTTGTCACACGGGGGGTAAAACGATAACTCATCAATTTGTTTACATGCCTGAGTGCCCTCTTCCCCTTATGGGGCGAGACTTGTTGAGTAAATTAAGGGCTCAGATTTCTTTTGAGCCGGACGGTTCTACTTCTTTGACATATGGCAAGGTCTCTGTGGAGGTTCCCCAAGAGGAAGCATGGCGCTTATTGGCTTTGCAGGAAATTATAGCAAATTCCGGATGGGAGGATTTCAATGTCCGTTCCCTGTGGGCTGAGGACAACCCCCCCGGTTTTGCTAGCCATCAGGTGCCCGGTGTTGTCGAGGAGCTCCCTGCCAAACCTCCAGTTCGCCTTCGTCAACGGGCTTACCCTAGACACATTATGCAGGCTATACAGGAAGTCATTGATCTCTATCTGGCACATGACATTCTGGCCCCTACTGAATCGGCCTGGAACACCCCAATCTTGCCTATTCCGAAAGGGGATGGCCGTTTCCGCATGGTCCAAAATCTAAAGCCAGTTAATAGTGCTACAGTGACCATTCATCCTTTGGTCCCAAATCCGTACGTGATTCTGGGCTTGATTCCCCAGACTGCGTCATGGTTTTCGGTCATAGACCTGAAGGATGCATTCTTTACCATCCCAGTCCATAAAAAGAGTCAGCATCTTTTTGCTTTTGAGTGGGAAAATCCGGCTACTGGTCGTAAACAGCAGTATACGTGGACCAGGTTGCCTCAAGGGTTTAAGAACTCCCCCACTTTGTTTGGAAATGCCCTCGCGGCTGACTTGGAAGCCTTACACCTTCCCAAGCCTGAGGTCTTATTGCAGTATGTTGATGACCTGTTGATCACTGGCCAGACAAAGGACATATGCTGGCAAAACACTTATGATCTCTTGCACCTTCTACAGCGACTGGGCTATAAGGCTTCTCGGAAAAAGGCACAATTGGTTTTGCAAAAAAGTTAGATACTTGGGCTATGATATTGAGCCTGGAAAACGCACCTTGGGTCATGAAAGAAAGGAAGCTATTTGCCGCCTCCCCACCCCACGGACTAAAAAGGATCTCCGGGGGTTTCTGGGGGCTGCTGGGTTTTGCCGCATTTGGATTCCCAACTTTAGCCTCCTTGCAAAACCCCTATATGAGGCAACCAGAGGTAGTGACCGGGAGCCACTCCTCTGGCGAAAAGAGGAACAGAAAAGTTTCTCAAGTTTAAAACATGCCCTAATGCAAGCCCCTAGCTTGGGTTTGCCAGACTTAGACAAACCTTTTCAGTTATTTGTAGATACTAAACAAAATGTTGCTGTTGGGGTTCTCACCCAAAGGTTAGGAACCTGGCATCGCCCTGTAGCCTATCTTTCCAAGCAACTGGATCCTGTTGCGAGGGGTTGGCCTGCCTGTCTCAAGGCTGTTGCTGGCACGGCTCTTCTTACTCAGGAGTCTTGCAAACTAACCTTTGGACAAGAGCTTGAAATACAAACCCCTCACGCCTTGAAGGCTGTCTTGGAAACAAAGGGTCATTTGTGGTTAACCAATCCCCGAATGCTTAAATACCAAGGCCTTATAACTCACAACCCCATGATTGTTTTAAAGCAATCTACTTCTTTGAATCCGGCAACTCTCCTTCCTGAACCTGATCTTGATACGGCCCACGATTGTATTCAGACTATTGGGGAAACATATGCCAGCCGCCCTGATATGTCAGATGTCCCACTTCCCCGTCCTGACTATGCACTGTACACCGACGGCACTAGTTTCCTCCTGGATGGGGTTCGCAAGGCTGGATATGCTGTTGTTACCCTAACTGATGTCTGGGAAGCCGAACCCCTCCCTCCTGGTACTAGTGCACAGTTGGCGGAGCTCCATGCTTTAACTAGAGCCCTTGAGCTTTCTAAAAATCTGAATGTTAACATTTACACAGATTCAAAGTATGCTTTTTTAACTGTTCAAGTCCACGGGGCATTGTATAAAGAAAGGGGACTCATTACGGCAGGAGGAAAGGACATCAAGTATGGTCCACAAATCCTCCACCTGCTGGACAGTGTTTGGGCCCCTCACAAGGTGGCTGTCATGCATTGTAGGGGCCATCAAAAATCACCATCGGATACGCAACTGGGTAATCATAAGGCTGACCAGGAGGCTCGCCTTGCGGCTCTCAAACCCTTCATACCGCAGGCACACTGTTTCGCCTTATGGAATCCCCCAGACTCTATGCAGCCTCATTATAGTGCATTGGAACTGGCCCAAGCCCGTGAGCTCGATGCTTTCCTACAGGGGGGTTGGTGGATCTTGCCCGATTCTCGTGTCTTCCTCCCGGGCCACCTGGCCTGGGATGTGGTTAATCAGGTCCATGCGCAATTGCACCTGGGCAAGACTGCTTTGGCACATGCTTTGCTGCGAGAATTCTATATCAACAAAGTCCATAGCATTGCAGCCAACGTCTGCTCCAGGTGCCACACTTGTGCAGCTAATAACCCTAGAACGGGACCCCAACCCCCGCAAGGACATCAGCCTAGAGGAGATTTTCCTTTTGACTCACTTATGATTGATTTCACCGATTTGCCCCGCTCTGGTTCATACACTGCCCTGCTTGTCATTATCTGTACCTATTCGGGTTGGCCAGAATGTATTCCCACTCGCACCAAGCGGGCCTCTGAGGTCACGAAGGCCCTCTTGCAGCTTATCATTCCTCGTTACGGCCTGCCTTCTAAGATCTCTTCAGATAATGGCCCGGAGTTTATTCATAAGGCAACACAGAAGATTTCCACTATGCTGGGTATTCACTGGCGCCTTCATTGTGCTTTTCACGCCAGTAGTGGTTCTTTTGTGGAATGGGTTAATAGATCAATTAAGGACAAACTGGCAAAGATTTGTCAGGAAACGCACCTCAAGTGGCCAGATGCCTTGCCAATGGCTCTGCTCGCTGTGCGTTGCGCTCCTCGCAAAGATTTGCTTGTTTCCCCTTTTGAATTACTTTATGGGAGGGTTCCCAACTTAGCTCGTCCCTCTCTGTCTTCCGAGACCCAATTGGGAGACACTATTAAGCTCCAACAACTTCAATCACTTAATCAAATGGTTCACAAGTTACAGGATTATGTTTTGTCCTCCCGCCCACACCTGTTTGTAACCCCCACTCACAACATCTCCCCTGGTCAGGAAGTGTGGGTTAAGGAGTGGAAACGGGAACCTCTTTGTCCTAAATGGAGAGGACCTTTCTCTGTAGTTATGACTTCTCCGCTTGCTATTAAAGTTGCTGAAATTAAGCCTTGGATCCATTGGTCACGAGTCAAGGTTGCCGCTTCATCCGCTTGGCGGGTGGATTCCCATCCAGAGCAGCCTTTGCGTCTCACCCTTCGCCGACAGCGCGCTGCACCTGTGGCTGCCCCTTCTGGTGACACTCCGGAAGCTGTCCCTCTACGAACGGGAGCCGAAGAGGAATCCCCTGCAGGTATTACTCCGGAGGCTAATACCCATCGCACGGGCAAACGCTTCCCCGCGGATGATGACATTTGGACATGGTTGGGAGGAAATACGACCCCTACATTGGTACCAGCACGTTGTCCTTATGGGTTGAGAAAAAGGCCACGGCCCGAGCCATGGCCTGGTGGGAATACCAGAAACTCATGGATATCGAGGAAAGTAACATCGAAAATGAAACTTTGCAGTAATTGTATTACTTGGCAAAGTCTCAACAGGGGGGAATGAAGGAGAGCCCCTCATATGGTGTATCCTAACAGTATGTATCTTAAAGGCCTTGCTTTTATATCATTTATAGCGCATCTATAAATGTATTGCCCTTTCTCCTACATCTGTACTCCTAGAAGGGAACTTGACATTTGTAGCAATCTGTCGTAACTATAATGTTGTAACCATTGTAATTGTGTAACTGGCACGTATTGTATACCCATATACTTCTGCTTTTGTACTTTTCCAGGTTACTTCTGTATTTGTACTTTTCCAGTTTACCCATCTGTATCTATGCATATTGCATTATCCTAGAAGGAACTGAAAGTATGCTATGATCATAAACATATAAAAACCACCTCAGGGCGTTGCTCGGGGCTCAGTATTTGTCAGGTTACTACACTGGGCCTATTGCTAGCAATATTCAATAAAAGCCTGTTTCTTTCTCTGGATCTCTGCGGTCTTGTCTCCTGATTAATTTGGGATTAGTAAATCCCGCTTCAATAGGGAGCCTATGGTGGATCTGTATAATGTGTTGTCCTTGAACGCCTCAGCCTCATTATACATGTCCTTCAAGAAATCTGGTTGCATTGGTGTTTCACACCCCTTGGCGTTTGTCATGTTGCACTTATGTATTAGTTCCAAAATTTTGTCCTTCTGTGACAGTTGGAAACCTCTGCCTGTTTTTGTGATTTGCACCCCTAAGTATTTATCTACCTTACCCAATATCTTCAGTGTAAAATGTTTTCCCAGCTCACTGGCGAAGTCATTACATTTGCTAGACTGGCCACCGATATACAATATATCGTCCACGTATATCAAAACGTACTCGAGGGAACTGTCTGACTTCTTGGTGAAGAAGCAGTTGTCGGCCGAGGTGGCTGAGAATCCCATGGACTTCAATGTCTTGGATAGGCATTCGTACCAACGTTTCCCTGACTGTTTGAGTCCATACAAGCTCCGGTTTAGGATCCAGGTTTCTCCCTTCCTGGTGTTTTGGCTAGGTGGCGCTCTCACATATATCTCTTTATCGAGCTCGGCGTGCAGATAAGCGGTTTGCACGTCGAATTGATGTACTTCTAACCCAAGTAGTGATGCAATAACCAATGCACATTTTACGCTTTCAGCTCTGACTGTGGGGGAATACATTTCCGTGTAGTCGTCAGGGTATCTTTGGGCGAACCCCTGTGCCACCAGCCTAGCCTTGTAGAGTGCTTTGTTTCCCTCTAGCATTTTAATTTTGTAGACCCACCTAGTGCCTATGGTTGTCTTTCCTATTGGGACTTTAGAGGGAGTGTATACGTTTAGTTCCCTCAGGCTGTCCATTTCCCTCTCCATGGCTTGTTCCCATTTTTCTCTTTCCTCATCTGATAACTTCAGTACGTCCTCATATGTGTTGGGGGTTAGTTGGTTAGTGTGGAGGGATAACACATAGTCCCCTAACCTTTCTGGCTGTTTGCCCTGATTGGCCTGTCAGGGGGTGTCTCTGTGTCATGCATGTACCTAGCTTCTCTCTCAGTGAGTGAGTCCACTTTGATGCATGGGTGGTTTTCCTTCCACCCCTTCACTGGTATTTCCTGTCTCTTGGGTTTGCTCTTTTCCTGCTCTGTACCCTTTCCTGTTTGGTGCTTTATCCCCCTTTGGTCATCCCCTGGTCCGTCCTTGCTAAGGGACACCTCGTTGAGGTGTATCTTGGACCAGTTGGCATTTTCGTGAAAGACAGCTGTTCGTGATATCACAAAATTGTTATTGCTGTCTATGAATCTATATCCCTTCGTCCCTGGTTCATACCCCATGAACCTCAGTCTTCTGGATACCCTGTCTCCCCTATGTCTCAATTGTTTGGGGATGTGCACATCTGCTGTGACCCCGAATATGTGTAAGTGTGACACCTGTGGTTTCCTTTGGTACATTAACTCGTATGGAGTTTTGTTTAGTACGCTGGTCCATAACCTGTTCAAAGTGTAATTCAAATAAATGAGTGCTTCTGACCAGAAATGCTGCCCTAGGCTGGCATCCTCTAGTGCGCACCTCATCATGGTCTGCAGTGTTCCGTTTTTTCGTTCTGCAACGCCATTTTGAAAGGCGGAAAAAGGAGAAGTTGTGTAGTGGACTATCCCGCGTGTTTTTAGCCATTGCGAGAAGTCACTTGACAAAAATTCAGACTCCCAGTCTGTCATTATTTGCCTGATCTTGGTATCATGTTGTGTCTCCACCCTTGCGTAGAATTCCTTAAATTTTTGGAATACTTCGCTCTTGTGTTTTAGCGTGTATACGAAGCCATAGCGGCTGAAATCATCCACTATGGTCAGGAAGTACCTCTTCCTGTATTTGATGGAGGGTCTTAGTGGTCCCACTAGGTCCATATGTATGAGTTGGAAGATTGAATTAGTTGTGCGCACTGATTTTTTGGGCCTTGGTTTAGTTTTTAGTTTAGAGCTCTTACAAATAGAACACTCGAGATAGTTCTCACAATCCTTTATTTTTACACCTTCAGAGCATTCCATCATTTTCTGCACCACAGGGAAGCTAATGTGTCCTAGCCTTCTGTGTAACAGGTGGGCACAGTTGTCATGCATTGGCTTCCCTATCGCTGGCTTTCCTTCCCTGGGAGTCCCCTGCTCACTTGTATCATCAGTGGTGTGTGCGTGACTAACCCCCTCTACTTCCCCACTTGTGTAGTCTGGGTTGTCGGGTTTAACCTTCTGGTGATTGTTTACCTCTGGCTGCTTGTTCCTGACTGGTTGGAAGAATGGCAGTTCCCCACTGATTACTACTTTCCCTATTCTTTTGCCCCCTCTAGTTACCTGTGCCTTTCCTTACTTGAATGTCACCTCGACATTGTTGTCCTTGCTTAGTTTTAGGGTGGCAAGGATGTTATAGGGTATATTTGGCACTAATAGTACTCCTTGTATTACTCCTATCCCTGGCACGTATGCGTTACCTTTACCTGTTACTTGCACATTGTTCTGGTTAGCCACTTTTATTATAAAACTTTCTTCTGTAAATGAGGTTAGCAAGTTACGGTCATAAGTGGTATGGTTTGTGGCCCCTGAGTCCAGCAGCCATGTGCCTTCCTCCCTGTCCTGGCCTATGTGTCGTTCTTGACCTCCTATGCCATACAGTGATCCAGTCTGGCTCTCCCTGGAGCTGTCCCTGTGGTTTCTCCTGTCCCTGGGGCTAGGGGAATCCCTACGCCTGTGTCTGTCCTCTGGTGAGCGTCCGCTAGTGTGTCTTGCCCTTTGTTCTGGTCTGTCCCTTCTATGTGACCTGTCCCTGTCCCCTGTGTTTCTAGGACAGTCTCTTTTGTAATGGTTTCTTGACCCACATATGTAGCACTCTGTTACTGTAGTTCCTACCCTGTGGCTCAGCCTTTCTGCTGGGTCTTTGCTCCCTGCAGCTTAGTAAGCAGTCTTTCCTGATGCTATCTTCAGCTATTAGTTTACTTGTTAGTAGTTCCAGTGAGAGTTTCCCTGACCCTAGGTTGTCTATCTGCGTGATAAATGTGTCCCAACTGGGGTCTAAGGAATTTACAATGATGCTTATCATGGTCCTCTCACTTATGACCTCCCCCCTTTGCGTCAGTTGAGCTCTGGTGGTATTTAGTGACAATAAATGCTCGCTCATTGGGGTCCCTGCTTTAAGTTTGGTGGCGTAGAATTCCCTGGATAACCTGGTGGTGCTTGCTACGCTTTGGCAGTAAAATAGTTTGTGCATCCTCTGTATTACCTCCAGAGCAGTCAAGTGGTGGTTAATGCTGGGGTAAATACTGGGGGTAATGCTGGCAATGACAATACAGTATGCTTTATGGTGGATGCAATCTAATTCAAAAGTCCAGGGTTTTTCTGGGGGGTCTATGACTAGGGATAATAGATCTTCCTTTAGCAGGGTGACTTGGAGTTGCTGGTTCCAGTCCAGGAAATTCTCCCCATCTAGTCTCAGTTTGGGAAAGTCACTTGGCAAAGTCCCTGTTAAATTACTTACATTATGTCGCTGTCCATGGTTCCTCATGTAAGGGTACTCACAATAAGGCAGAGGAACGACTGTGGCAAGTCTGAACTGACTTGTCTCTATGTGCTTGCGTCGGTGTAGCTCTATGTCTTGTTCCGTTTCTCTTACAGGGATGCATTGCACATGCGTGAGGTTCATTTCTGCCCAGCTGCCGTGGAGTGAGGAGCTCATCCCCGCAGCTCTCGGGTGAAGGCCCCAACCTTCCGGATGGGCCTTCGGTTCCTCCTTGGTCGGCCTCGCTTGCTCGGGATCATCGCGGATCATCGTCTGGAGCCTCGGGAAGTGGTGAGAATCGTCGGTGGAGGTCGGAAGTCCCATTGGGGCCGTGAATGGTCCCGGATGGCCCGGCCTTGTGTGGGTGTCGCCTCCGGGTGTCGGGCCGAGTCTCCTGCCCGCCGATGGACGTCCCCTGCCTGCGGATGGCCCCGTGGGCCATGGATCTGGTCCCGGTCGTCGGTCCGGTGAGTAGTCCCATCGCCTTCAGTGTCCCGTTTTTATGGGGAGGCTCCTTGGGAGCTCTGGGTGGCCCTGGGCCCATGCGGTGGCGGTCAGTTCCCCAGGGTGGGTGCCGGTGTTGGCCCTCTTCGCGCTAGGGTCCCCTTTGCGTTTTGGCCTAGCACCGGGGTGCGTGTTCGGTAATTTCATCTTATCCCCTAGGGCCGCGGTGATTAGTTCGATGGCTTTGTTGACCTTGGGCTCGGTAGGCGGGCCTGTAGATTTTGGCTTTGGGCTTTCTTGTTTTTTGTGATAGTTTTGGTCGGCTACTTTTGGGTAGGTCCCGATTCCCGCCATGAGATTTAAATCTTGGGAATCTATTGGTGGGTGGTCGGCCATTTTTGATGACACCGCCTCCCAAGATGGCCGCTGTAAAAAGGGCGCGAAGTCTCCTTCGGCCTTTTCGGTGGGTTTCTGGTGGGGGAAGTCCTCCCTTACCGCATCTTCGTCGCTGTAGTCGGATTCGTCTTCAAAAGCTTCGCAGCCTTTGACCAGTTCTGCAATGAGGTCGGTGTTGCTTTGTGACAAATCTATCAGCTCCAGAGGTTTTACTTTTAGGTTGTGTTTTTCTCCTTTTGAGGTCTCGTGTTTCTTCCACCCCTCGTCGCTTCTGGCCGGGGTGCATGGGTGGTGGAGTAGGCCACTCGTCTCGGGTGCCTCTCCTTGCGTGGTTTCGGGTTGGGCAGGCCGTTCTGCCATCTTCTTGGTGAATGCTCTGGTATTCACCCTGTCTGTCGTGGTCCTTTGCATGCTGTGGAGTATTAGGATTGGGCTGTCAAACCATCCTCTGCTACCATATTGTTAAATGTGTTCAAGGATCGTGCCCAATAACTCCATAAGCAGGTATTCATTAAATCAGATATTGTTTATTAATTAAGCATCTTATCATTACAGGTACAAGTCTGGAACTGAGGCAGGACCGCATGGCTGACCCTTAAGTACCCCCTGGGCGTGGCTAAGGTAAGGAGGGGTTATTGGGTTAGGGTGGACCTTGGGGGCTGGCTTGTCCAGCCCCCCTGCCTCTAGCTCTGGATCAGAGGCAAGGCATTTATTCCTGACAAAAACATTCATTGGGGAAGAGAACCCAGTTGAGAAGATCATAATGAGCAGATCCCAGTCCATTTTCTGAGAAAGAGACTTCATCTCCAGCACTGTTGTTGAACTGGATCTTCCTCAAAAAGGGAAGAAGCTGAAAAAAAGGGGACCTTTAATAATTGGAATAATTGGGACTCCCTATAGAGGGGCAGTATGAACAGCTTCCAGAAACCCCCTGAGGGGCCAGATTCTCCATTGGACTTAATGGGCTTAGTAAGTGACTAAACCTGAACTGACAGATGGATGGAAATGCCAAATCCAATCCGAACATCTGGCTGATTGTACAAGTATCCATAAATTGTGAATCATTAACAGGACCACTAGAAGGACACAATTAGGAGTGGTTCAGGAGAACCCGCCCCCATAAGAAATAGTTTAGAGGAATATTCAAATAAAACCCTTCACACAATTCAGGCAATGGAAGCCAAAATTGAAGTAGGCTGTGAAAGACCAAGACCACACATGAAATTCCAATTGAACTGATTTATTATGCCTATATGCAAGAAACTACTCAACTAACAGTTAGCACTATTTTGGCATGAGATAAGGAAGGGCTGATGGAGTTCAAGAGGGATTGGACTTAGTCCATTTGTGGCTGTGTGGAGACTCTAGGCTGATTCCTCTTTTGACTCTGCCCCCAGGTTCTGCCACTTCTTCTCACATATAGTCTCTCAAAAAACTTTGTGAAGAGATTCATCATTTTAGAGGGAACACCAAGCAGAAAAATGATCAGTTGGACTTTTTGGAGTGTAAAATAGATATGAAGGACATTCAGTATGAGGGTGACCTAGATAATTTGGCCTTTTTTAGAATTATAAGGCAAGGAACTGTTATTACAGTTTCAAGCTGTCCTCAAGGCACCCCACTAGTCCACAGTTAGAAAAGTTCAGAGGGATGAATTTGTCTAATTAGGTATCAAGGAATCAAGTCTCAAATTGCCATTTTAAATCTAAACTGAAGATTGACAACCTGGATATAATTGTTCTAAAGGAAATTTCCATCAGGAGCCTGAGAGAGAAAAAAGTTTATGCCTTCTAACAGACCATCTGATGAAGAGAAAGATTCTATTCTGTTAGAATAAATGTGAAAGAGGATCAAGAATAAATTCTATAAAGAACAAAGATTTAGACTGAATTCTATAGAACAAGGGTCTCCAAGCTTGGCAACTTTAAGACTTGTGGACTTCAATTCTCAGAATTTCCCAGTCAGCATGGTTGACTGAGGAATTCTGAGAGTTGAAGCCCACAGTCTTAAACTTGCCAAGATTGGAAATACCTGGTACACAAAAGATTTCTTGGTTAAACATAATTAATTGTGAAGCAACAAATGCAAGGAGCAATGGATACTGACAATAATTCTGATTCGGATCAACCTCAAACATCAGACACAGATATACAGGAAGAAATTGAGGAACCAACTGGACAGGATTTGAAACATTATTCAAAGATGGGAAGTAAATGTGTAATATAGAATATTAATGGAGTAAATGTCCCATTAAGGACAAAGAAAATATTTCACTCTTTGAGGAAATTAAATGTTGATATAATTTGCTTACTAGTGACACATTTTAAGGCACAAGAGAAGAAATACTGAATGAACAGAAAATTAGGTAAAGAATTTATTACAGTAGGTGCAAAAAGATGAATGTGTTGAGCCACGGTGGCACAGTGGTTAGAGTGTGGTACTGCAGGCTACTTCTGCTAACTGCCAGCTGCCAGCAGTTTGGCTGTTCGAATCTCACCAGTAAATCTCGAATGTCAGTAAAATGAGGAGCCAGATTATTGGGGGCAAGAGGCTGACTCTGTAAAACTGCTTAGAGAGGGCTGTAAAAGCACTGTGAAGTGGTACATAAGTCTAAGTGCTATTGCTATTGTTTTATGGTTCTTTCTCAGTGCTATTGTGTTTCAGAGTTTCCCAAGCTCCTTGAGATGTTTTCCCCTTTAAAATTTCTACCCAGGGAATCTTTCACAAGCTCTTTCTAAGTTTGATGAAATCAACTCTAAAGTCTAAGACATTCATTTGACTTTGTACTATTACTCATGCATTCATGATGTTGAATTCCAGTATGACATGGTCATTCTCCCACAAAGTTCTTGCCAGCTCAACCTTCTCTATCATTTTATCCCTATTAGTAATAATTAAGTCCAGCATAGCTGACTCTTTGGCTCCCTCCTCTATTGTTTGGATGACAAACCTGCCAACCATGAACCTGTTTGATCTCCCACTTGGTGCACAAATTGTCTCCCTATTGATGTCACAGGTGGGGGACAGATAACACAGCATTCATTTACTGAAAGAGCCATTATTATGATTCATGATGAATGATGACGATGATCATGATTTATCATTATATCTTTTATGTACACTGAGAGCTTATGCACAGAAGACAAATTCCTTGTGTGTCCCAGTACTATTTAAAGAAAAAAAAAGATGGGGTGTATGTATGAGGCTTTGCGTTGATTTTCACGGAATTATTGCCGTGTGCGTGGAGAACAAATACCCTCTCTCCCTCATGAAGGACATGCTAAGCCACTTAGCGAAGGGCAAGGTGTTCACCAAACTGGACTTAAGAGAAGCCTACTATCACATAAGAATCAGAGAAGGAGATGAGTGGAAGACAGCCTTTAAGTGTCCGCTTGGCAGCTTCCAATTCAAAGTTATGCCGTTTGGCCTGCAGGGAGCCCAGCAGTCTTCATGCAATTAATTAATGAAGTGCTGCATGAGCACTTGTACAAAGGGGTCCTAGTTTACCTGAATGACATTCTCAAATTCAGTGAAAATCTCGAGGAGCATGTAAAACTGGTGCGGCAAGTGCAGAAAAAACTCCTCGCTGCAAAACCCTACTGTCAAAATGCAAATTCCATCAGACCTCCCTCGATTATCTAGGCTACTGAATTTCCAGTGGAGGGGTGGAAATGGACCCAGGAAAAGTGAAAGTGGTGCTAGACTGGCAGCTCCCACACACCCACAAACAGCTTCCAAGCTTCCTGGGGTTCGCAAACTTATACAGACAATTTATCCCAGTCTTTGCAGAAGTTGCACTGCCCCTAACAGAACTGTTAAAAATGGGGGCACGATTTGCAAAAAGGCTGGCACACCTATCTTTGGGATAAAGGAAAAGGGGTAGGGGTATATTTCCACCGACATAAAATTAGAGACGTGTTAATGAAGACATGGAAAGAAATTAGGCGTATACATTACACAAAAATCCCAAAATGGACCTCCATAATGGAGGTAATGATCCATCCAAACACGCTAAGCAAGGAAAAAATGTACACTTATCAAGATATTCTAGACAATAGCGGCAATCTTAAAACAAATGAGACCTTAAAGGAGCAAGGGATTCACATCGATTGGTGGCCCTACTTACAAATTCAATCCCGATATAGGAAGGACAAGCAGGAAGATGGTATAGAAGTGGGAACAAATAGCTTTAATAAGATATGGATGGGTGGTGAGAACAAATTATTAGCCAAATTATATTCATACCTGCTTGAATATGATAGAGAAGGGGAAATACTCAAGGACCAGATGATTGCTTGAGGGAGAAACATCGGATCAAATATAAATCTAGATGATTGGGAAGAAGTGTGGAATAATAATCTGAAGCTGACAAGAGCAGTAATTTACAAGGAGAATCAGTATAAAATGCTGTATAGGTGGCATCTAGCACCATCTAGGATTGCAAAGATATACCCAAACGCAAACCCTAAGTGTTGGAAATGCAGTCATTGGCAAGGTACTTTCTACCATATGTGGTGGACGTGTCCTGAAGCGAGGAAATTCTGGAAATTGATACAAAAATGGATCCAAGAAATAATAGAGGAGGATATTGCCCTTATACCAGAAATTTACCTCCTGGGAGTTCTGAAACGAGCATATGGGAAGAAGAAGAAATATCTAATTATCCACATCGTCACATCTGCGAGAATCTCTTATGCACAACATTGGAAGGAGAAAAGCTGTCCAACTGAGGAGCATATAGTTAACAAAATATTGGAATGCACAGAAATGTGTAGATTAACATATGTACTAAATGAAAAGGAAGATTCAGAGTTTTATACGGTATGGGATTTGTGGTATAGGTGGTTGGGAAATAAATGCAAAAGTTAACTACTAAGGGGGACAACGCTTAACTATTAACTTAACTTATGTACTATTATATTATGACTTATAATATATTAATTTCATAAATATCTTACGTTCTAACTGTAAATCATCTATACAACCTATTAGCTACCATATTTATAAGCATATAGTATGACTACACGTTGCCAAACCGAAAAGGTTGAATTGTAATATATTTGTCTATTCAATAAAAAATTTTTTTTAAAAAAAAGCACTTCACAGAAATTACCTGCCATGACTGGACATTTGAGATCCTCTTCCCAAGCCTCATCATGGTTGTTTGTGCTCCTGATCCATGCATTGCGTGTAGTGCGTGTGCCACAGCATAAATGGCATTGTAAATATTGTAACTTTCCCCTGTCATGCTTGTTTCAAACACGTAAGATGGCAGATTCTGTAAATTTTCCTTTCCTGTATAAGGTTTTTCCCCCTTTTGAGGGGTCTTGCCTGGTTTGTGGATCTTGCAGCCAAAGACCTTTTCTCACCATGGAGGGAGAAAGAAGTCCCGTCGTGGGACTTCAAAGGGTCTAAAGACATGAGAAAACGGCTGAATTCTGAGACATCCCCGGTGTGGTGCCTAAAATGCAAAGCCCCATGGAAGGGCTTTATAAGTGACAATATATATTGAGAGTTCATCACATTAAGTTTCCAACTGCATGTAAAGATCCAAACTTTGCAAAATGATGCATTTCTCCATTTTTCATAAACAAACACAACTGCCTGTACATTTGAAATAGTACTGGAATCTGCAAACAAAATAATCACTTCACCTATAGACCAAGTGTTCAAAATATGGTTTAATTTCGAATCTGAAATAGCATAAAAATCAAGTTTCATCATTTGCGTGAAGGCCAGGCAGATCTCCTTCTCCTTAAACATTAGCATCAGGGATGAGATGAAAAGTTCTCCATCGTCATTTTCAGGAGCCACCAGCCCAACCCAGTTCCACTGGAAATACAGGAGCAGCTGGACTATACCTACGTACTGAGGAAATTCCTTGGGATTAATCCTGAAGGAAGAAAGGATAAACTCTTCTGCCTTCCTGAGCGAACTCAAAGCCAACTCCGAGCTGGAGAAAATGAGAAGTAAATTTTAATGCTGATTTTAAGGGTCCCCACTGTGTAGTTTATTGCCCCACCAGTCAGGTTCATCCACTTTGAGTGGCAGGCTTCACCTTCCTCCCTTCTTAGGAAGAGCCACCAGTTACAGTACCTGTTTTGCTTGGTTGTGATAGATCAGAAGTCAAGGGAACAAACCTGATACAGAGAATAAACTGCACTGAAAGGTGAAAAAAGATGATAATCTTCTATAAAATTCTTTCAGAATTATATCAATATTGCTTTGTGGTTATATAAAAATGTATCTTGACATGTGCAATCCAGAAATCAATTCAAAAATAGGATGGATTATTTACCGTATTTTCCGGCGTATAAGACGACTGGGTGTATAAGACGACCCCCTATTTTTCCTGTTAAAATATAGGGTTTGGGCTATACTCACTGTATAAGACTGCCCCTCTTCCAACGCACACCAAATAAAAATTAAAAAAACATCAACTGGCTCACCCACAATGTAAAAGCAGCTGTGCTAGACCCAAAATGGCCCCTGCAACAAGCAGGAACCTCACACAGCCACAAAAAGCCCCAAAAAACAACTTTCACACTTTACACACACAAAATTCCACATACAGCTTTGTGAGATTTTGTGTGTTTGTGTAGTTAGAGTGAAACACTACAGAAACACACTAAATCTCAGAAAGCTGCACAAATATTATTTTATTTTATTTTATTTTTATTTTTATATGAAAACTAAATTTAAAACTTCCTAAACTTTAAATGGCTAGGTCTAAAAAAGAACAACTAAAAAAAACCCCAATTAACTATTTTTTTTAAAGCTCCCAAAGGGGAAAAAAACTTACCCAATAGAACAGGGGTCTCCAACCTTGGCAACTTAAAGACTTGTAGACTTCAGCTCCCAGAATTCCTCAGCCAGCTTTGCTTTGCTGGCTGAGGAATTTTGGGAGTTGAAGTCCACAACTCCCTACCTGCTTGATTGCAGGAAGGGAGTGGCTTGCTGATGGAATGGATTCAGGCAAGCGAACCAAGGCAAGCAGCTAAGGTAAGCAAGCTGGAGGGGGAAAACTTTTTTCCTTTTACATGGCTCTGACGATCCCAGCTGCGTTGCCTGATTAGCAGGGAACTCAGCTGGGATCGTCAGAGCTTGGATTGCCAGAGCCATTTAAGGCTCGTCAGAGCCTTTCGGGCTGGTCTGCCTGGTTACAGGAGAACGACACCTGGCGTATAAGATGACCCCCGACTTTTGAGAAGATTTTCATGTGTTAAAAAGTCATCTTATACGCCAGAAAATACGGTAAGTCGTGTATCCCTGATATCCCACACCCCACCCTGGCAACAACTTTGCTTTCATCCTTGGCTTCTGTGTGTTTGTCTACTCCATACTGTATCCATTGAGGCCCCTTACCTGTGGGACCCTGAAGATGCTGAAGATGGAGGCCATCTGCCTTGAGGATTTGGGGTTGTCACCCCCAATGACAGAGAACAGGGGGTCCATCCTGTCACATTCATAACCTGGAACCATTCAGCCTCGTGTGGAGAGCAGGAAGAGGCTGTATAAGGAAAACTCCCTCTGAATCTGGCTATTCTGATAGATACGGAAGCCAAGGATGATGTTGGGCAGGAGAACCAGATCCTTGTTGACCTCTCTGACTGCAAACATCAAGGCCAGGAACTGCTGGTAATTCTTGGGTATGAATCTATAGTGAGAAAAATAATGGGGAACATTATATTTTGTGTGCTTTGCCTTTTTTGTGTGTCCTTGGAACAGAAAGTCACAAGTTTCACTGAGCTGTTTTGGCATTTTTTAAAGGATGCTCCTTGATTCAATTTGGATGGATTTCTGAGAAAGGAGAAAAGCCTGGCTGTCCTTATCCCAAATCCTTTTATCCCCCTCCGTTCTCCTTCATTTGGCTGAAATCCTCCCCACTTGCTCCTCTTCCTCCCCAATCATTTGGGGGATTAGAGCCAGAGGAGCAGCAGCAGGAGAGGCAGCCCAGCCATTCTTCTTCTCACCTTCCCTCCTAGATCAGAAATCAAGGTTTCTGTGCAGAAGCAGAACTGCAGGCAGCCCTTGGAAATCTCACCAGATTTACACAGTTGAGGCTGCCTGGATGTCCTCAGAGTAAATTTATCTGATGCCTCTTTTCATTAACACATTTGTATTTTATCACTTTATTCCCTCCTATCTATCTCATTCTGAAATTAGACTATATGCTGTATTTTATTCTATTTTAATGATAAGACTAAGCTGCAAGATGAATCAATCAATAAACTACTCTAAAATCAATCATGCTTTCTCTTGCTTGTGTTTGGCTCTGAGACAAAGACCAGCTGAATCTCACCGAACCCTGGAGTTAGCTCTTTGGAAGACAAAGTAAAGTCCTTCACCACTGGGAGAAGCCATTTTTTTTAGCTTGGAAGATTTTTGTGGGTCGAAATCCACAGGGAGTATAACTAATTCTTTACATTAAGAATTACTGTTCTTCTGATAATTGCAAGGAAAAGCTACTGTCCTACCCACTGAGCAATAGATGTTGTTTGCACATCAGATAGGGGAAAACATGCTTGTGTCCCTAGTAGCTAATCCAAAGAACACATGGTCTTGAGAGTCAAAGTCAACTTAAGTTTTTGACCTACCTGAAAGTGAACACCTGCACACAATATGGAGTTTGGCCTGTGTGCTACTACGTATAACATCCCAGTAAAAGGTGCAAATAAAGAAGGCAATCATTGCTTAAAAGCTTCATGTAATAATTACTAAAAAGATTTAGAAAGTTGAAGTTTCTGGATGGTCTTCAAGGGCGGCCCCATATAGAATGCATTACAGTAGTCCAACCAGAGGGTGACCAGAGCATCCTTCATCCAGGAAATGGGTGCAATTGACACATGAACAAAGTTGTGAAAATCGGGCAGTGCAACCCCATCTAGCACCAAAGATGGTGGTGTGGTCCTAGAACTAGAGGACCTCCAAACTCAAAGTCACTCAGTCTTGCGAAGAAGTTGAAGAAGCTCCTTGGGTGAGAATTGAAACATCTTCAAAGAAAAACCAGAAAGTCCAGTTGCCTCTTGAAAAAAGCATCTCTGGGTCAGTCTTACTGAGGTTCAACTGAAACCTGTTTTTTCCCCCACAGATTCTCATAGACTCCAGACAGCCGGACAGGACATGCACAGCATCACTTAATTTACCAGAAGCAAAGATCTGCAATTGGGTGTCATTAGCATATTAAAGATACCTCACCACATGGTGATGGATGAGCTTCCCTGGGGTCTCATGTAGATGTCAAACAAGGGAGGGGGCAGCACTGACCCCTGTGGCATCTCACATAAAAAAGGATCTCCCCTCCCCAATCACCATTGAGTCAAGGAAGACAAGGATGGAAGCACTGCCATAATCCCACCCATGCCAAAAAAACTAATTTCTCCCATAGATCTTAAAAATAGGTAGGAGGTTCTCTCAGGATGTTAGGCTAATTTCAACTCTACAGGAGGGTTGTCTGACAACTAGTTGAAGCCAGCAAATTTTGTCTTCTGCGTTTGTCTTGTGAATTATGTGTTCACGCTTCTCAGCTGGTGTGGGAAGGATGCCATCACCCATGGTAAACCCTTGACTGGCTGGGGTAATAAGAATGGGCACAATGTGTTATGTGCTTCTCTCCTTTCTCTGAAGGTGGCTCCAATCCATGTTGGTTGGAAGGGAGCAATTGAACCCAAACTCCTATTTCTTTAGGTGCCTTCTAGAACTGAGGTGAGACCTTCTCAGTTCTAGCTCAGATGTCAACTATATGCTGATGACATTCAGTTCTACAAGCATTGATTGACCAAGCAATAGTCTCAAGATTTTGTCCCAGTGCCTGAAGGCTGTTGGATGGGGAGGAACAATCTCAGTTTGAATCCTAGCAAAACTAAGCAACTGTGGATGATTGGTCCATTCAGTACTGAGGTCTTTCTCGCTTTGGTCCTGCATGAGATTGCACTGCCATGCTTGAGACTACTTGCAATGTGGTGTCTTCTTGGACTCTCAGTTCCTATTCAAATAGCAGATAGTAGCTATGGCCAGGAAGGCCAGGAAGCTTCAGTTTGTTAGATGGGATAATACTGAACTGTGGGAAGTCTAAATGTGCATGAGAGAAGCAGAGGGGAGAGAGAGAAGAGTGGGGGCAGGAAGTCTGCATTTACTGGGGCCTGACCCAGCAGTGAAGATGGAGCTAGAAGAAGTCCATCTGTGTGTGAGAGAATCATTGCTATATCTCTTAAGGAGGCCTTGGTTTTCCCCCTCTTTAAGAAGCAACTGTTAGACCCCATCATAAAGGCAAATTCCATTTAGTATCCAATCTCTTATTTTTGTAGGGAAGGTTGTGGAGAAGGTGGTCACTCACCAGTTTCAGAGGACCCTGTTTAAAGTGGATTGTCTGGTCCCCATTTGGTTGGGATTCAGGCCTGGGTATGGGATGGAAAGGGCAATGGTTGGGATTTGGGGTGAACTTTGATAAGAGTCTTCTTCTCCACATTCACCCAAAGTGTCTTCTATAGGGAAGGCCCATTTTCTTAGATCTTCCTATCCAATAAAAAAAAAAAGTCAGGAATTTTCCCCAAATTGAGTTTAGAGCTGGTTCACCCCATTGGTTTTCTTCTGACTTACTTTCAATCAGTTTCCATTTCCTCCTCTTGTACAGCCCATCCCCAAATCTCCTTTCCAAATCTCCTCCTTACCTATGCCTCTAAATGCAACTATTTGCCTCTGAATCAGTTTTCTGGAGAAATCAGGGATTCCTTCAAGGAGAGAGATGGCCCAATTCCTCACTGCCATGGTACACAAAAAGATCCAATGGGAACTATTAGAAAAACTGAAGCTGGCTACTAAGTACTCAAGCATTTAGGAAAGAGTGGTTGGGAAATCCTGGATCATTTCAAAGTATTTATTCCTGTCCCTACATTCACCCTGGACATTGTGAAGTCAGAGTGATGTCACTGCAGGAGGCAAGGATCAAGGAGCACATCAGCAATGACCATTGAGAGCTAAGCCAGGGAGGAAAGGAAGCATCCAGTCCTTCTCCTGACCACTCACCTTCCCTGGTGGCCAATCTTCCCTTCCACAGAAGCAGGAAGAAGCTTTCATTTGGGCAGTAGATGACCTCTTTATTCTTGAGTAAAGTTTTCCCGAGTGGTCAAAAGTTAGCAATCCTCGCTCCGTTCCAGGAGTGCAGGAAGAAGGAGCTGATTAACCCACATAGCTGTCAATGTTTTTCAGCCTTCTTCATTGCTGAAGTGCTAGAAAGTCAAAGTTTTATATCAGGGAGGAGATACATGAATTGAAAAGTTCCAACTTCAGGTGGTCAGTTTCTCTATCCATGCAGGAGATGGTTAGACCAGCTGGCCTTAAAAGGGAAGGGTTCCTGGTTTTGTGTCCTTCTCTCCTTTCATTGCAGCTGCTTCCAATCAGTGTTGGTTGGAGGGGAGAAACTGAGTCAAAACCCTTAGTTGTTTTTTTTTCTTTTTTAGAGTTTTACTGAAAGTTATTATAACGTAAAATACAGTGAAAACAAGGATTAAGAATGGAGGGGGGGTTGGAGAGCGTGCAGGATGAAAAAAAATGGAAAAATGAGAAAGAAAAGATGTTGCCTTCCAACTTTTTCTAACACTGTAAATACATTTATGACTTCAACTTCTTACATTACATTTAATTACTACACGCCATTTCTATAATTTCTGGTTAAAGAATCTGGAAGAGTATTTTGAACTTTTTCATTATAGAAGGAGATGAGTAAATTATCACTAATGTTTGCAAAATATAATTGGAAGTGTGAATTTGAATGTATGTATGTATGTTAAAAGTGATGTATATATACATTTATAAAACGTATTTTATAAACATGAACATTTTAAAGAAATATTTAGAGGTTTAAAAAGCAGATGAAATAGCTTTCTCTTTAAGGTTAAAATGTTGGTGTGAAACATTAAGTTCACACATGAAGGTTCAGTTAAGCTGATTCAGTGCTAAGAGCCTATGCACAGGAATCTTCTCAACTGATGCTCAACACCTTCTTTCAGTTAGGTAAGAATTAACTTCACTCAAGGGGAGGGTTGGACTTAGTTCACTTGTGGCTACGTAGAGATTCTAGGCTGATCCCTTTTTTCACGCTGCCCTTAATTTCTGCCATTTCTTCTCCTACATAAAGAATTTGAAAGAGTACCATGGTTTTTGATAATATAGATGATGGTAGTCTATAAAAATTAACAAGTGCAAACTGGAGTTCATAACATTCCCACAATAGGGAAATACATCAGTCTGGTTAAGAGGGCAATGTAAACTGTTTGAAACAAAGAGATTTTAATTGGCCCTATTTCTATTGGAAAATTACTTCTTGTTTTTATGTTTGAAATAGAAAAAAAAAGAAACTTTGAATTGTTTCAAGATTTAATAATTAACCCCACTGATTTTCAGCAATGCTCCTTTCCTCCTAGAGCAGTTTTGTGTGAATGCTTTAAGATTGATGTGTGTTAAGATTTACCTCCCTTTCAGAAGGAATTTCTTTTCATTTCCTTTTTTTCAATACACTTTATTAAGCTTTTATTACATTAAAAACATAAAAAATTATTTCACTCAACAACAGCTATTTGTGCTGTTTTTCTTGTGACGATAATTCATGCATTATTTACAAAAAATAAATTGTTCGTATTTACATTCTTATTTTATCTATTACTTATACTTAATAACTATCGATCTTTAATCTATCTCCGTTCTATCCAGTTATACCACTGTTCCCACACATTGTAAAATATCGATGCCTCTTTATCTTTTAGACTCAGCGTTAATTTGTCCATTTCTGCACAGTTCATGACCTTTTGTATGACCACTTTCTCTGTGGGTGTGCATGGCTGTTTCCAACATTGAGCGTAGGCAATCCTGGCAGTGGTTAATATGTGTAGTAATATTTTGTGCCCTTCACATTTTTTTTTTAAAGATCCCCAATAGGAAGAGTTCCGGTTCTAAGTCTAATTGTTCGTTAGTCTAACTTCCTGTAGCCAATTTTTAGCCAATATTTTTAGCCTCAGGACAGGGTTAAATCTTGGCTTGGGGAAGCTCTGGATTTATTCAGACAACTTTCACAGGGATAAAAGATTCATTGGGGAGGAAAACCCAGTTGAGAAGATCATAACAAGCAGATCCCAGTCCATTTTCTGAGAAGGAGACTTCCTCTCCAGCACTGTTGTTGAACTGGACTTTCCTCAAATAGGGAAGAAGCTGAAAGAAAAGAGACCTTCAGAAATTGGAGTCATTGGCTGGAAAGCCACCATGGCTTCCATCATTCTGGGATCTTAGGAGATAGGTGTATATCTGACAAGGTGGAGGAGTTCCATTGGTGGAGATCTCAATTTTTTAGAAAAAAAATACTACTGGAGAACAATGAAGGAGAGAGTTATAAAGAACTCTAAAAAGAAATTACATAAATATTTGATAATAATTTGGATAAAGGAATAGATTTAATGACTGTCTGTAATTCACACAAATGAATTCCAAAATTTTACATTAAATTAAGTTGATATACCAGCAGTTATCTATGTTCACTATCCAAGAAGTAGAGACTAAATTGAACTATGGCAAAGAAAGGCATTCTGAGTTTGCAAATAAACCAGGAAGATGGATGACATATAAATTTGAGAAAAGGAAGAGAAAACAAAATGATAGAAAAATTCAAGAAGATGAAGCACCTGTCCTGGTTTGTCACTTCCCTATCCAGAGAGGTATGACATTTAGCTTTTGATGCAGAAAAGTCGGATGAATTTCAGAGCAGTTTGAATCCTGCTGAACGTGCTGAAGTTGACAGAGGCTGCTTTCATACAAGATCAGCGATACAACATATGGCAAGCTAAACTAATAGAGGGTGCTAACCAGAGTTGGTATTCAGCAGGTTCTGACCAGTTCTGGAGAACCGGTAGTGGATATTTTGAGTAGTTCTGAGAACCGGTAAATACCACCTCTGACGCATACAACCATCCAGTAAAAATTGTAAATCATCTTCTTGTGCCATATTTGTCATCGGATGTTGGCGATCATGTTGCCGATCCTATTTTTATCAACAGCCGCATGAAAAAGTGCTGTTGAGTTTTGTCCAAACTGGTCCCTTAGATTTGGAAGCCATGATGATCTGCATGGACCTTGTTTGCCTTTCCTTGGAGGATTAAGTGAAGGATGCTGTATTTTTCCAGGTGTCGCATCAGATGTCCAAAATATTATAACTTTTGCTTTTTTATGGTTTTGATGATTTCCCTTGGCTTTCCCAGGTGGCTTATCGCCACCTAGTTTTGTAAATTGTAAATAAAGAAGAGAATCATTGCTTAAAACCTTTATACACTAATAATAGAGTCCCTGAGTCTGCTGCAATGAGACCAACCAATGCAGCTCAGCAAGCAAAGAGATAATGTGCCCTACCAGAAACATGCATAGCTTTTCTTGCTACTGCAATTTGCACCAGCTGAAGTTTCTGGATACTCTTCAAGGGAAGGCCCATATGGAGCATATTGCAATAATCCAAGCAGGAGGTCTTTTGCCCAGGAATGGGTGCAACTGGCACATAATCAAAGTTGTGAAAAGGCCCTTCTAGCCATAACTGCCCCTTGAACTTCAAGCAGGAGTTGTGAACCCAGGAGGACCCAAAATTTCTCACAGGGTCTGTTTGGGGCAATGCAGCCCAACCCAGCACCATAGATGGTGTAGTCCTTGAACTAGAGGACTCTGAAACCCTAAGCCACTCAGCCTTGCTGGGGTTCAATTGAAGTCTGTTTTTCCCCATGCAGACAATCATAGCCTTTAGACAGGAGGACATATGTTTAATATGTTATTCTAATTAGTTAAGCATATCACATCACAACACTGAGACCTATGGAGAAATATTTTAATACTTTAAATTGTATTGCACCACATCTGAAATGCAAAAAGAAGGAATTTCAAACATGAACTAAAAATCATATGTCTTTGGACAGAGAAGATTATAAAATAGCAATAGCACTTAGACTTATATATCACTTCACAGTGCTTTGCAGGCCCGTTCTATACAGTTTACAGAGTCAGCCTCTTGCCCCCAACAATCTGGGTCCTCATTTAACTGACCTCAGAAGGATGGAAGGCTGAGTCAACCTTGAGCTGGTGAGGATCAAACCCTGGTAATCAGCAGAATTAGCTTACAAAACTGTATTCTAACACTGCACCACCAAATATTTCCATGATTTCCAACTATTTGAAGGACAAGCCACTCTCTTATTTCATCATTGTTAAGAAACCACATCAAATTTAAAAAGGGACCAAAGACAAAATAAATGTTACTGCTTTACATGTAAATCAGAGATTCTTGTGCCCCATTATACTTTTTCTCTGATTCAGATCAGGCCTGAATAGGATGATGTAGCATTTGGGGAAAAAGATGCAAGCCAAGAGCCCAGCCCCAGAGGCCAAGATGGAGAAGATCTCCACAGCCACCATGGACTTCCCTTTGGTGCTCAGGTAAGTGGGAAGGAATGAGATCCAAACACTGCAAAAGACCAGCATGCTAAAAGTAATGAACTTGGCTTCATTAAAGCTGTCAGGCAATTTCCTAGCCAGAAAAGCCACTGTGAAACTCACAAGGGCCAGGAAACCCAGGTAGCTGAGGACAGCATAAAACATCGAAGCTGAACCTTCATTACATTCCAAGATAGTCTCTCCAGTCAAGGAATGGAAATCCATGCTGGGAAATGGGGGAGAGGTTATCAGCCAGGTGGCACAAATAATTGCTTGTATCAGGGGACAGGCTAAAACAATGGAGTTTGCCAGAGGTTTTCCTAAGAGTTTCCTTGTCTTGTTTCCTGGCTTGGTGGCCATGAAGGCCAGAACCACCATGACAGTTTTTGCCAAGACAGAGGAAACTACAAGGGCAAAGAGAATGGCAAAGGCAGTTTGTCGAAAGAGACAAGTGAACTTCCTGGGTCGACCAATGAAGAGGAAGGAGCAGAGGAAGCAGAAGAGGAGGGAGATCAGGAGGAGGTAGGTGAGATCTTGGTTGTTGGCCTTGACGATTGGTGTGTCACGATGTTTAAGGAAAATTGCCAGAACTGCCAACGTGATCAGAGAGAGAGAAACAGTGAGAGAAACTAAAGTGCATCCCAGGGGGTCTTGATAGGAGAGGAAGTGGATCTTCTTGGCAATGCAGTGGTCCTTGTCCTTGTTGGGATATTGGTCTTCTGGGCAGGGATCACAGCGAGCTGCATCTGAAATCAAGAAACCAAATCTTTGCCTGAGGATTCCAGGGATATCTGCCATAAGCCTTATTTCCCCTTCATTATTCCTCCTTTCCTCTGCTGTGGCATGAATTCCCCTTCCTGCTATGGTCAGTCCACAAAGGAAGTGATGGAATTATCTTTTGTGCATTTCATGGTGGTTGAAACAAGTTCACTCTTTGTATATTGTTGATGATGCTTTGGCTAAGTTAGTCCCAGACAAGGAGGAGTTCAGCTCCAGATGGTCTGGTTTGTTTGCTCCTGAAGAAAAGGCTGTCTCCAGCCACTGGCTTCTTCCATGACTATTGTGGCTTTAAGTCTGAGAGAGATTGCCAGTTCTTCCCCGCTTTTTACTGGAATCGCAAAAAGACTGTCAGCTAGAAATCCTACTCTTTTGTGTGTTTGTGCATTATTTCTGTGTTTGTGCTGAAGGGATCCTAACGGCAACAGGGAAGGTCATGAAAATATCTACTTAACTTTGGGAGAGGGAAAAGTCTCTTTTCCTGATCCAAAGTGGGTTATAAAGAAATTGATTACAAGAGGAAAAAATGAAAGTTTGATTCAGAAGCACCACAGCACTGAGAATTCTTTGGCTCAGGTTCTCCGCTATGTACTTAAAATCTATTGATTTATATATTTTTTAATTGTTGTTGTAGCTGATTGTTAGCAGACATGGATAGCTGGATCGGACATAGACCTCTGACAGGTCTCTCAACTGATCCTGGAAGATCTGCTTCTGGCATTTGCTCTACCTGTCTGATTAGAAATGGTTCCTTCTGGACAAGGGTCACACTGATAGCAGCAGACCTCTTCGCCCTCTGGAACTCTTCTCCTCTCTCCTGCCTGGCACCTCTTCATGCCACACCTGGCAAAGGGCACCTTCTGAAAGAGAAAAGAGAAATGCTTGAGATGGCATAAGCAAATAACCTGCTTCATTCATTCTTCTCCACATTCCTATTTCAATCAAAAGAAAGTCTTCAAAAGAAATGGTTCACCAGAAACCAAAAACTTCTTCTAGGTGAATTAGGCAAGCACCATTAGGCAAGTCCCTTCAATGGATGCTGGAAATGGGAGATGGGACCTCAGCATGCAAAGGTGACATTGAGCTACAGCTTTGATGAAACAGTAAATGATGAGGGTTCAACTGAAGAGGTTGGGAGGGAAGTGAGTTTTTGGAGGAGTGGGAGGAGGTGAGTAAAATAGAAAAATATGCTTTTATTAAAATTTCTATGGCAATGTAACAGATGTCCTTCTTTTTATTAAGGCAATTATTCTTTCTTGAGGTTAGTAACAGTAGAAACAGGGAGAGATATTTTGAAGTTTGCTTATTATGAATATCTGTGGTTTTATATCATCAATGACCTATGTATACATACATGGTATGAATTAAGTGTAGTGTTTGATTGAAAAAGGGGCAGACGGGGGGAAATAGAAATAAATCAAAGCAATCATCTATAAGATCCATAGAGGAAACATCTTCACAGAAGGCCCCTAAAGATCTTCAATGGTTGCCTGAGTTTCAGGGGGTGACCATTTCATGGAGGAGGAATCAGTCCAGAGCAAGATGACAATCTGGGTGTGGTTCACTGTATCATTTTCTTCTCCTTTCCTGAAATATATGACTGAGTCCTTGTTCTGTAAGAGTCCCTCCCATTCTTGACTCCAGTGTGAACTGCTAAATCCTGCCTGAGATTTGGTTCTTGGTTTTGGAGTCCTGCATTCGATTCTACACTGGGAGTAGCCCATAGAAATCACAGTTGCCTCACCTAATGGCATCCTGGCTTTCAAGACATTCTTCCCACTCCCACTCCTTTCTGCACCTGCCAAAGTTAGACCTGACATGTGTTACATGCAAATCAGCTTTTTCACCAAATAGCTGCCATATTTTATGACTCAACAGACCTTTTTCCAGTTCCGCATCTCCAGAAGAGAACAAATCTTTCCCTGAATTTACATCAATGCCTTTCAACTCACCTTTGAGGGCCAGATGATCTCATCAGAGTTAATGGTGAAATCCTGACCTGGGGGAGCCCAGGGATCGATTTGCCCGACTTCCACAAGGACAATTGATCGATTGGGGAAGAAAACCCAGTTGAGAAGATCGTAACGAACAGATCTCAGTCTATTTTCTGAGAAGGAGATTTCATCTCCAGCACTGTTGTTGAACTTGACATTCCTCAAATAAGGAAGAATCTGAAAGAAAAGAGACCTTCAGAAATTGTCATAATTGGCTGAAAACCACAAACGAGACAACATGGCTTCTACCATTCTATCATGGCCGTCATTTTAGCAGAAGGGATTATGTCTGAGAAGTTCTACGGCACCATTGGTGGAAATTTGAACAATCAGGGGTAACACTGAGTCTACTTCCCCAGCACAACAAAATTTTGCCTTTGTTCTTGGGCATTTGTATCATGGCTTCTTCAACTCTAGTTTTAACAAATGATACCTACATATAAAGATTTTAATGCCGCATTTAAAATATCAATGATTTTCCTCATGCTTTATGTGGCTATATATATTTAAAAATCTTTGCTTGTAAATTTGTCTTGTAAATTCATTAATTGGATTGATTACATAATTTCTTTCAAAATGGTGTACAATTCCACTGACTGCCTTTAGCTGATAGACAAAGAGAGCAGAAGGCAGGAACCAGCTGTGACTACGTGGGGCCATACAAAAGGAAGTGCCTGCCCAAGGTTGTCCCTTCACTGTCCAGAGGGGTCCAACATTTATCTTTTGATGCAGAAAATCCGGATGAATTTTAGACCAGGAACAAGTTGGATTCAGGCTACATACAGAGAGAGACTGAGGTGGTTCTGGAAATGTGCCCACAAGGACATCAACTGCCCAATTGAAGCCTCTGGCACAAACACATCCAGATTGTCATCTTGTTCTGGGCTGACATCTCCTCTATGAAACGGTCACCTCCTGAAACTCAGGGAACCATTGAAGTTCTTGCAGGACTTTCTATGAAGATGTTTCCTCTATGGACCTTATGGATAATTGATTTCATTTATTTCTGTTTCCACCCCTCTCCCTTTTCAATTAAACACTACAGTTAATTCATGTCACTGTTTATAATAATTGCTGTTTTTTTAACATGTTCTGGTATTCACTGATATTGTAGCATAAAGATATTTCATGAGTAACTCAAGAAGTACATATGGGAAACTTTCACTCTAAGGATCTGTGGACTGAAGAAAAAGCCACAGAGATTACCTGCCACGACTGGACATTTGAGATCCTCCTTCCAAGCCTCATCATGGCTGGTCGTCCTCCAGATCCATACATTGCATGTAAAGCATGTGCCAGAGCATGAACCGCATTGTAGATGTTGAAACCTTCACCAGTCATTCTTCTTTCAAACAAGAAGTCGGTAAATCTTGTAATTTTTCCTTCCCTGTACAGTTTTTCATCCCCTCTGGATGAAATTTACCTGGTTTGCGGAACCGGCACCCAAATACCTGTTCCCACCAGAACGGGAGAAACATATCGCCTTGTGGGTTCAAAGGGTCCAAAGACCGGAGGAAGTGGCTGAATTCTGAGATATCAACAGTGTGGTCCCTCACATGCAAAGCCCCATGCAAGGCTTTAGGGCTTCCCAGATATCTATACGATACATTACAGTAAGTTTCCAAGAGGAAGTTAGGATCCAAACATTCCGATGTGATCCAGTTTCATAATTTACATAAATATAAAGACCAGACTGAAGAGCGGCAACAGTTCCAGTCTCTCCAAAGAAAACAATGATGTCAGCTTTAAGCCACATTTTGGAATATAAAAGTACCTGGACCATATGATGTACAGAATCACCTTTCACCGTTTCAATGAAGGCCAGGCAGATCTCCTTCTCCTTCAGCATTGGCCTCAGAGTTGAGATGAAATGTGCCCCACTGTCACTTCCAGCGGCCAGAAGCCCAACCCAGTTCCACTGGAAATACAGGAGCAGCTGCACTAAAGCCACATACTGAATAGATTCCTTGGGATTAATCCAGAAGAAGGAAAGATAAAGTCTTCTGTCTACGCAAGTGGACTCAAAGCCAACACTGAGCTGGAGAAAGGGAGAATCTTCTTTAAAAGATAACGCAAAATTTGATGGTCCCCATTGTGTGGTTTATTGACCCCATCAGTCAAATTGAATCATTTTGAGAGATAAGTTTCATCCCTTCTTAGGAAGAACCACCAATTAACATATTTGCAGAGTTGTGACATGTTAGAATCCAAGGGAAGAAACCAACAACTAATGTGAACCAAGGTGAACCAAGGTGAAGCTAGGCAAAATCACATCAGATACCTACACAATTAGCACAGGAGCTGCATACAGACGGGAGGTGCATGTGGTGCAACCAGAACTATCTTGAACTAAGTACCCTCAAAACTATATAAATATATGGTGGGTTTTAGAAGAAACCCTCCTATACTACCACCTCTTACAATACTAGACAACACAGTATCAACAGTAGAGTCAGTGGTGAAATCCAAATTTTCAAATTTGAATCTGTCATCTGCACCTCCATAACTGTCTGCAACCCAACAGGACAGACCCAGACTTCAACAGATAATTAGAACTGTAGAAAAAACAATGGCTGCCAAACTGCCTTCCATGGAGGACCTGTATACTGCACGAGTCAAAAGGAGGGCTGTGAAAATATCTACAGATTTCTCACATCCTGGACACAAATTGTTTCAACTTCTACCCTCAAAAAGATGCTACAGAGCACTGCACACCAGAACAACTAGACACAAGGCCAGGTTTTTTGCGAATGCCATCACTCTGCTTAACAATTAATTCCCACAACACTGTCAAATAATTTACTAAGACTGTATTACTATTATTCTTATCTTCCTTACTAGTATCTATCTCTTCCCACTTATTACTATAACCATGTTCCTTGTATCTTTCAATTTTTATTGTTTTTATTTGTTTCCTAGTACGATTTGATAGCTTATTAGTAACCTTGACTATCACTAAGTGTATCTCTTTTTATTCTTGAAGAATGTATTTTATTCTCCTTATGTACACTGAGAGCATATGCACCAAAGACAAATTCCTTGTGTCACTTTGCCAATAAAGAATTCTATTTATATCATATGAAACATATCACTGACCCGTGGTGGCGCAGTGGTTAGAGTGCAGTATTGCAGGATACTTCTGCTGACTGCCGGCTGCCTGAAATTTGGCAGTTGAAAACTCACCAGGCTGAAGATTGACTCAACCTTCCCTGCTTCCGAAGTCAGTAAAGTGAGGACCCAGATTGTTGGGAGCAATATGCTGACTCTGTAAACTGCTTAGAGAGGGCTCTAAAGCACTCTAAAGCAGTACATAAGTCTAAGTGCTATTACTATTGCTATCTTTACACATAAAATATTTAAATGAATCCCCTCCCCAGAACCTTTGGGGCCATCTTGTGCTTCTGTGAGTTCATCTTTTGTTTGTCTAGCCCATCACTTTATCTAAAGGAGCCCCCTTACCTGTGGGACCTTGAAGAGGCTGAAGATGGAGGCCATCAGCCTTGAGGATTTGGCATTGTCACCTCCAACGACAGAGAGCAGAGGGTCCTGCCTGTCACATTTATAACCTGGAACCATTCGGTCACGTGTGGAGAGCAGGAAGAGGCTGATTAAAGAAATACTCCATTCCCACTGGTTATTGTCATACATGTGGAAGCCCAGGGAGATGTTGGGGAGGAGAACCAGATCCTTGTTGATCTCTGTCATTGCAAACACCAAGGCCAGGAACTGGTGGTAGTTGTTAGGTGTGGGTCTATAGGGAGAGAAACATTGTGAGGTATTACATGAAAGCTTGTGTGTGCTGGTGGAGTTTGCCTTGTCTTTGATCTTGGTGGGGTTTCTTTGGAGCAGGATGTCCCAAATATTAATAGATTTTTTTAAAAAAAAATTTTTTATCAACCTGCATAGATTTGTGAGAAAGGAGAAGTAGGTATGTGTCCCTATCACACAGCATTTTAAATCCTTCCGTCCTTCCTCCCTTATTCACTTTTCTCCAGTGGCTGTAATCCTACTTAATTTCCCCTCTAGTACCCTAATCACTTTTGTTCTCTCTTCTTCAGTCTGGTGACCATTGTTGGGCACAAGATTCCAGTGGGGGCCACAGCAAAGATTTGCTGAGGGCCATTATTTATAAGCACTGCTGATTCCAAAACTGAGTTTTGTATGGGGTGGGGCTTATAGTACCCCATGCAAGAACAGTTTTGAGCTTTTCCTTGAATGTTCCCTCTCGACATACTTTCCAAATTAACAATCTTGCAAGTCATCTACTTAACTAGGGCAGCAACATTCCTACTAAGTTGTCCCTCATCCCTCTGTACGTGATTTATCATCTTCCTGATGAAGAATTCTGGAAAGATCGGGAATCTAGTCTGTTCTATGAGCTTGGCTCCTTATTGAGAAAAACACAGAGAGCTGAACTACACTAGGACATGGAAATATCACCAGAACAAATATGTCTGAGCAAACAAAGCAAACATTTTTCCTCCAGATGAAACTTACATAAGCCCAAAAGAAAATCGTAATGGATCTCTTTTAAAGTCTTTGATGGCATCGCCATAATAGGTGCCAAGGGGCAAATTCCCACCAATAATGAGATCACCAGGCCTGTAATAATATTTCTGAATACTGAAATGTTTTGGCAGAACACATCTGGTTTGCATCCTCCTAGCAGATGTTGGAGACGTTGGAGGCAGGAGCCAGAAGAGCAGCAGCAGCAGCAGGAGAGACAGCCCAATCATTCTTGTCACCTTCCCTACTGCATAAAAATAAAATAAAATCAAGGTCTGTGCAGAAGCTGATTTACAGGTATCGCTTGAAATCTCAGAGGTGTCTTAGCACATAGTCTGCTCATTCCACCTGGATGGCCCCAATGCAAATTTATATGAAATGTGTTTCCTCTTACCTGTGTTTGGGCTGCGACCAAAGAGGAAACTGAGTCAGCTGAGTCTCACCAAAGCTAGAGGTTGGCTCTTTGCAAGACACGAAAAGGTCTCCCTCCCTCCACTTGGAGAAATCAAAGAATATTTGCAAATCAGATTTTATCTTGGAAGGTTTTCTTAGGTGGAAATTCATAGGGGATACGTTAAAAATGACTGTTCTTCTAGTAATTGCAAGGAAAAGCAATTGTCCTACCCACTTGGCACTAGATTTTTGTTTGTGCATCAGAAAAGGAAAAACATGTTTGTGTCTCTTGCTGCTATTCCACAGGGCAGATAGACTTGAGAGTCAAGAGAAAATTGGATGTTTGACCTACATGAAGCAGCCCATGGAAACAAGTTGGGGTTTGACCTTTGCCATAGCTTGTTCAGGTAGAATGAGTGCAAATGGGACAAGGTGGCACATGGCAATCACTTATACACTAGTAAGTGTGGACAATAATACCAATGCAGATTGAAATAACTGATTTATTGATACTCAAATGGAATGGGGCAAAAGTAGAACCTTTCTTCTCCCATAGTTCTTTAAAATAGAGAAGTTGTCAGGCTAATTTAAACTCTACAGCAGGTTGTCTAAGAACTTGTTGGAGCCATAAATGTTTATCTGCTGTATTTGTCTTATGACGTAGGTCATCCGAATCCTCAGCTGGGGTGGAAAGGAAACCACCATTCATAGTCAATGTCTGGACCAGCTGGATCCATGGGGTTATGTGGCTCTCCCTTTTTTCTGAAGCTTGTTCCACCCAGTGTTGGTTCGAGGGGAGAGATTGAGCTCAACCCTTTATCTTCAAGTTGTCTCAGTGAAGTCTTCTCAGTTCAAGGTCAGGTATCATCCATATTATTATTATTATTATTATTATTATTATTATTATTATTATTATTATTATTATTAATCAAATTTCTATACCGCCCTACTCCCGAAGGACTCAGGGTGGTGAACAGCCAAGATAAAATACAGATAATACAAATATTTAAAAAATCCCTTAAAATTATTAAATATTTTGGCCGAAACACAGATTAAAACACCCAATTTATAAAATCACAAACTAAAAAATTTAAAAAATTTAAAAAATGGGAGTTAGGCCAGGCCAGCTTGCTGAAATAGAAAAGTTTTGAGAGCACGGCGAAATGTGCGCAGGTCCGGGATCTTCCGTATCTCTGGGGGGAGCTCGTTCCAGATGGTAGGTGCCCCCACAGAGAAGGCTCTCCCCCTGGGGGCCGCCAGTCGACACTGTTTGGCCGACAGCACCCTGAGGAGCCCCTCTCTATGGGAGCGTACTGGTCGGTGAGAGGCTATTGGTAGCAGAAGGCGGTCTCGTAGATACCCGGTCCGATGCCACGGAGCGCTGTAAAGGTGGTAACCAAAACCTTGAAGCGCACCCGGAAGACCACCGGGAGCCAGTGCAGCTCGCGCAGGAGGGGGGTCACATGGGAGCGCCACGTCGCTCCCATAACCACCCGCGCGGCCACATTCTGGACCAGCTGGAGCCTCTGGGTGCTCCTCAAGGGGAGCCCCATGTAGAAAGCATTGCAGTAGTCCAAGCGGGAAGTAACGAGAGCATGAGTGACCGTATTTAACGAGTCCCGATCCAGAAAGGGATGTAACTGGCGAATCAGGCGGACCTGATAAAAAGTCCCCCTGTGATGGCACCAACTGACTATATCGGGATGTCGGAAACCACAGCCACTCGGTCTTGGATGGGTTGAGCCTGAGTCTGTTTCTCCCCATCCAGATCCGCACGGCCTCCAGGCACCGGGACATCACTTCAAGGGCATCATTGGGGTGGTCCGGGGTGGAGATGTACAGCTGAGTATCATTAGCGTACTGGTGGTACTTAACCCCGAAACCACGGATGATCTCACCCAGCGGCTTCACATAAATGTTGAACAGAAGGGGCGAGAGGACCGACCCTTGTGGCACCCCACATACAAGGGGCCTCGGGGTCGACCTCTGCCCCCCTGTCAACACAGACTGCGACCGGTCAGAGAGAAAGGAGGAGAACCACCGTAAGACGGTGCCCCCCACCCCTAACTCCTCTAGCCGGTGCAGCATGATACCATGGTCGATGGTATCAAAAGCCGCTGAGAGGTCTAATAGGACCAGGACAGAGGAACAACCCCTGTCCCGAGCCCTCCAGAGATCATCAACCAACGCGACCAATGCCGTTTCCGTGCTGTACCCAGGCCTGAAGCCCGACTGGAGCGGATCCAGATACGACGATTCATCCAGGTACTGGGGGAGCTGTCGCGCTACCACACTCTCAACAACCTTCGCAACGAAGCGAAGGTTGGAGACTGGACGATAATTTACCAACACTGCCGGGTCCAGGGAAGGTTTCTTGAGGAGAGGCCTCACCACCGCCTCTTTCAAGGTGGCAGGGAAGACACCCTCACTCAAGGAAGCATTTATAATCCCCTGGAGCCAGCCTCGTGTAACCTCCCGAGAGGCCAGCACCAACCAGGAGGGACACGGATCCAGTAAACATGTGGCTGCACTCAGTCTACCCAGTATCCTGTCCACATCTTCGGGCGTCACAGAATCAAACTCTTCCCAGATAATACTCACAAGACCTGCCTCTGTCCTCCCCACTGAATCTACCCAGTCAGAGTCCAGATGTTCCCGAATCTGAGCGGTTTTGTCATACAGATACTGTACAAAATCCTCAGCTCTACCCTCCAAGGGGTCCTCCCGCGCTTCCTGGTGGCCCTCCAACCACTCTCCAGGCGTCTTTTCCGGCGCTTCATCTCCCTCAGCTCCTCGGTGAACCAAGGAGCCAGGCGAGATCGATGCCGGGTCAGAGGCCGCAAAGACACAACCCGATCCAAAGCTCCAGTGGCCGCCCTATCCCAGGCGGCCACCAGCTCCTCAGTCGAGCCGTGTGCCAGAGCCTCAGGAAATGGCCCAAGCTCCGTCTGGAACCTATCAGGATCCATCAGGCACCTGGGGCGGTACCACCTCAATGGTTCCGCCTCCCTGCGGCGGGGTGCGGCGGTTCGAAGGTCAAAGCGAAGGAGGGAGTGATCTGACCATGACAAGGGCTTAATCATTATATCCCCTATCTCAAGATCACTCAACCACTGACCAGAGACAAAAACCAGGTCTAGCGTGTTTCCCCCCGTGTGAGTAGGGCCATGAACTAACTGGGTCAGGTCCATGGCCGTCATGGAAGCCATGAACTCCCGAGCCACCTCAGACGCCTCACTGACGGATGGCAGGTTAAAATCCCCCATGACCATAAGCCTGGGGGTGTCAACCGCCACCGCAGCTATAACGTTGAGCAGCTCGGGCAGGGCTGCCATCACGTGGCAGGGAGCCAGGTACGTAATCAGCACACCCATCTGCACCCCATGACCCCACTTCACAAGGAGGGACTCACAACCAGCCGTCTGAAGAACAGTGACCTCCCTCGGACCAAGACCTTCTCTAATAACAACCGCCACCCCCCCGCCCCTCCCCTGTGTCCTCAGCTGATGGAATGCGCGGAAACCGGGTGGGCACATCTCAATGAGGGGGACCCCCCCTCCTGGCCCAACCAGGTCTCCGTAATACCCGCCAGGTCCGCTCCCTCCTCCTGAACAAGATCATAAATGAGGGGGGCTTTATTTACCACGGACCGGGCGTTGCACAGCATCAGCCGAAGGCCCAGGGCCTGAGGGTCTGTGCAACCTGGGGAACAAGGGGAGCATTGGAGGCCGGAGCGCGCCACCGCTTGGAGCCAGCGGGCGCACGCTCCCACAACCTGATGTGGCCCCCTGCTCCCGCCATATCTGCCCCTCCCACCCACAGTACTGATGTAATGACCATCCATAACACAAGCTCTAACCCCCTCCTTGACCCCGGTTCCCACATCTCTAGTGCCGTGCTCTTCAGCCGGCTCTGGCCTCCTCCCGGACAGGTTCTCCCCCAAACCCACCGAACCCACCCCCCTCCCAGAAACCTTTAAAACCTTATCTAAAAATTTCCCCAAAAAACCCCACAACCCCCTCCTCGCCGCATGCCACCTCTCGGGATTCCAAAATCCGTCATCAAGGTAGGCCCTCGATAGTGAGGAGGGCCAAACCTGCGAGAGGGGGGAGTCTCGCAGCGCAAGCAGGTCAGCAGCCGTAAACATCGCACAAAACAGAGATGGAGAGTCAACTGGTCAGGGCTTCACCAGATCGTCCAATAATACTGGGTCAAAGTAGATCTTCATATCAGGAGCTGGTTCACTGCCCTCTCACGACAGTGAAAGGGGCCAGTGACATCCCCCCACGTCTGGAGGATAATTATCCCAGTCACCCTCTCACAGTGACTGGGGCCGATGACACCGACAATAAAGTCACAATAGTCCATCCTTTCATCTGGCGGATGACAAACAGCCCCCTCAGCACCTGCACACCATTTTGCCCAGTTTCCTCCAGTTCGGGGTCGCACAAGAAGCCAGCAATTTGTAAAGTTATTAAAGACAGTGATGATAATCCCACAGGCACAAGTTCTTCCCTGGGGCGAGAGTAGGGATAGCAGACAAAAAACCCAGTCCAAGTCCAAGGGTGGGTGGCCATCAAAGGCCAACACCCACACATACCTGGGGGAAGAAGGGGGGAAGGAGAAGCCACCCGAGGTGACCGATAGAGCCCTGGTCAGCCTCCCGCCTCTCCCGTCCCAAGACTCCCCCAAATCCCCAGTCTCAGCTCTGATGACAAACAAACCCCGGATAACAGGGGTCAAGGCTCAAAAAAGAGCAGATGGTAATCCTGAGGGCAAGGCAAGGCTGTCCGTATTCCCCCATCCACCTGTTGCAAGTTCTTTCCTCAGCTGGATGATCCGTGGCTGCCATTGCCTGCCGCCGCTGCCGCCACCACCGCCGGCTCGCAACCGGCACCCTGGGCTCCCCATGGCGCCTCCAGGACCCCCGAAAAACGTCAGGAGAGCGTCCCAGAGATCCGTGAGGGGCGAGGGGATGAAGGGCACCTCCAAGCCGCCGCCGCCGCATAGCAACGCCGACCGCCTCCGAACGCTCCAGCTTCCACTCCTCCCGGCGCTGACAAGCCGGAAACAGCTGTTTTTAACAGGCTGCCGCCCCATCTCCCGCGGCGGCTTCAAACAGCGCGTCCCGCCCTGCCCTGATATTCTGGAGGGCAAAAAAGCCCTCCGCAGGCAGGGCGGGCATTCCCCTCATTGGGACTGGAGCCGGAGATAGTTAAAGCGGCTCCCAAAGACTCCTGACACCAGCGACCTCTCCATCTCCTCCACGGAGCTCAGCCGACCGCCGCCATCTTGGGACACGCCGGAAGCTCTGCTGGAGATATTCAATTCCACAAGCAGTGAAGGACCAAGCAATGTAGTCAAGGTTTTGCTCTGGTTCCTGACAGCTGTTGGATGGGAAGGAAGAGTCTCAGTTTTAATGCTACCCAAATCAAGCAGCCATGGATGATTGGAACTCCCAGTACTGGGTCCTGCATGACATTGCTCTGCCATGTTTGGGACTCTTGTGTAATCTGGGGGTGGACCCTCATATCCTGCTCAAAGAACAGATAATAGCTGTAGCCAAGAAGGTCCTTTGTAAAGTTTCGTTTTGTGAAACACAATGATCTTGAACCTTGGTGAATCTGAACACCCATGAGAGGGACAGAGCAATGGCCAGAGTTGAAGGAGGAAGTCTCAGTTATTGGAATTGTATTTAGCAGTGGAGATTCCTTGAGAGATGATGTGGTACCTCCACCTCTTAAAGAGGTTCTGGCTTGTTCCCTTCTCAAGGTACTATGGCTGGACCCCACCATACTTGCCAATTCTCATCCACTACTAATGTCCCTTTTTAAAGGAAAGATTGCGGAGAAGGTGGCCACGCAGTACCTTCACCAGACCCTTGATGGATTATTTAGGCCCCTTTCAGTCAGGATTCAGGAGTGGGTTATGGGACAGAAAAGACATTGGTTGAAGTTTTAGATGGAGTTTGGCAACAATGGGATGGTGGTAGCACATCCATCCTTGCTCTTCTTGACCTCTTGGTGGTTTTTGACATCAGCTTCTATATCAGGTCCTTGTTAGGGAGTGGGCAGCACTGCATTTTGCAAGTTCTTTTCCTTTCTACAGGAGAGATATCGGTCTGTGTTGATTGGGAGTGACACGTCCCACAACTGATTATGTGGGTGCTGTAGTGTTTGGTGCTTTCTCCTCTCCTCTTTAAGATATACATGAAGACACTGGGTGATATCATCCACTTATGCGGGGTGAGGTATTATCTGTGCTGAAGATGCTCTACTCTACATGCATAATACCCAATCATCATCCTACGAGACAAATCTTCCATTTGCAGTGTCCCAAAGAAATGATAGATGCCCCATTGTACATCTTCCACCTCATCCATGTGGTTTTCATGCCATCAAGCAGCTGGACCACCAAGGAAGGTTCAAGATTGGAGAACTGGCTGTGCTCTGGTTCCACTCAAGGACAATTTAAGTCTGTGGTGGTGGACGATGAGAAGTCAGCCCAGGGGGCTCTGCTATGTGGGGTGCTTATATTGCCACCTGTTAACTCAAGGTGGCTTACATGGATATAAAAACACCATATAAAAGAAATTAAAATAATAAAAGAAAATAGTAAAATAATATCATAATAAGAAATTCATAAAATAATAACCACCTACCTCCCCACAAGAACACACATTCAAACAAGTCATTTAATGGGCTTCCTCCCACTCTGAGCTCCCTAAGCCTGCTGGCGGAATCAGGTCTTCAGGGCATTCCGAAAGAGTGTTAGAGTGGGGGCCGGTCTAATCTCTGGGGGAATGATGTTCCCGAGAGAAGGGGCCACCATGGTGGAATCCAGCAATCCACCCATCAATCCACCCCCATAATAATCTGAGAGGATACAAAAATAGCAAGGACAGGAGAGATCCCTTAATATCCACTTCACATGTTCTTGTTTATGAATGAAGTCCATTCATTTAGTCATAATGAAGAGTACACTTATACATTTTATTGTTTTGCATTAAAAATATACAATGAGAAATACTTGAATGAAAAAATTAAGGGAGAATTCTGCAACACCATCAAGGCTCCATGTATACACATATGCTGTCAATATTACTTTTATTACTTCTGTATGAATTTTCTTTGCCACTGCAATGCATCTGAATGCTTCTTTTCAAGGATTCTTCATTAAAACAAATAAAGGGACAAAAGTCCTGCTGGAAATCAACATTTTTGATTTTTTTCAAAATCAACCTGTATTTCCAATACAGGTTGTGGAGACAGCCTCCCTGGGAACAAGTGGCTTTCATGAAAAACAAAAGGGCAGGCGAGTCTTGCAGACTTTTATTTATTAATTTTAATAAATATTATTTTTATTAATTTTATTATTAATATTTATTAATTTTATTATTAATATTAATATTAATTTATTAATTTTAGAGAAGAGAAGAGAAGAGAAGAGAAGAGAAGAGAAGAGAAGAGAAGAGAAGAGAAGAGAATTCTTTATTGGCCAAGTGTGATTGGACACACAAGGAATTTGTCTTTTTAGGGTTATTAGGCTGCCCATCTCCCCTATACAAGGTGACTCTGAACAGCTAAAAAATATATTGAGATCAGTCACATCATCTGAATATCGGTTGTTAAATGGACAACTCCCACCCTCTTTTCTTGACTTTTTTTGAAACGTTTTAAGTTCTAAGCAAGCCCCAAAGTCAAAATAAAAATTCCCAATCCCTTCATTAGTCAGAGATTCTTGTTCCTTGTTATGTTTTTCTCTGTGACTCAGTTTGGGCCACAGCAGGAAATGGAGCATTTGGGGGACCAGTTAAATACCAGCTTCCATGCTTGCCACTGACCCAACACAATCCATTTTAGAGACTTTGATTAAAGTGGGAATATTTCCTGCTGTAAATGGGGGGTGGGGGGTTATGATGGATTATTTTTTAAAAAATATTAATTTTTTTTAAAAAATTAAAAAAAAATATTTTAGCTGCCCAGAGTCACCTAAGTGTGAGTTGGGTGACTACATAAATATGTTTAATTAATAAATTTCCACATCTTTGATATCAATGTATATCACTCAGATGATCATTGGGACCTTACCAGAGACAACTGCCAAAATGCCCCAATCCAAGTAAAATTTCCCAATCCCAGGACAAATCAGATATTCTTGTTCCTCATTATATTCTCTCTACAATTCAGATGGGGTCTCAGTAGGATAATGTAGCATTTGGGGGAAAAGATACAAGCCAAGAGACCAGCCCCAGAGGCCAAGATGGAGAAGATCTCCACAGCCACCATGGACTTCCCTTTGGTGCTCAGGTAAGTGGGAAGGAATGAGATCCAAACACTGCAAAAGACCAGCATGCTGAAAGTAATTTACTTGGCTTCATTAAAGCTGTCAGGCAATTTCCTAGCCAGAAAAGCCACTGTGAAACTCACAAGGGCCAGGAAACCCAGGTAGGTGAGGACAGCATAAAACAGCTGAACCTTCATTACATTCCAAGATAGTCTCTCCAGTCAAGGAATGGAAATCCATGCTGGGAAATGGGGGAGAGGTTATCAGCCAGGTGGCACAAAGAACTGCTTGGATTAGGGGACAGGCTGTGATAATGGAGTTGGTCAGTGGTTTTCTTAAGAGTTTTCTCGTCCAGTTCCTTGGTTTGGTAGCCATGAAGGCCAGAACCACCAAGACAGTTTTTGCCAACACAGAGGAAACTGCCAGGGAAAAGAGAATGACAAAGGCAGTTTGTCAGAAGAGACAGGTGAACTTCCCAGGTCAACCAATGAAGAGGAAGGAGCAGAGGAAGCAGAGCAGGAGGGACACCGGGTGGATGTAGGTGAGTTCTCGATTATTGGCCTGGATGATTGGTGTATCGTGATGTTTAAGGAAAATTGCCAGAACTGCCAATGTGATCGTGGAGAGAGAAAGAGCGAGAGAACTTAAAGGATATCCCAGGGAGTCTTCATAGGCAAGGAAGTGGATTTTCTTGGCAATGCAGTGGTCCTTGTCCTTGTTGGGATATTGGTCTTCTGGGCAGGGGTCATAGAGAGCTGCATCTGAAATCAAGAGTACTTTGGATTTTATGAAATATCAAAAAGAACAAATTATCCTTCAATATTGATTATTCTCAGGACAGGTTAGCCTGAGACAACGAAGTTTGCACCTTTTGGGATGAAGTTCTCTACTTTGTATTTCAAAATCTTTTTGCAGGGAAGGGCAGGCAGAAATAGTTAGATGTATCTTCCTTTTCTCCAGCAGGTCTGTCAATCTCCTGGGAGACTGATAGTGCTGACAGAAAAACACACCCTAAATAATTAAAATCAAAGCTTCAAACTCAAACCCACTGCATTCATGAAATGTTTGGTAGCTGGTTTTCCTGGATGTAGTTGGATGTAAGAATAGGACTTCAAAGTTTAGTAAGGAACTCATGAATTGTGCCCCAAAACTACCCTGCAGTAAATTGCTGAGGAGCAAGAAAGATGGCCAGGGGGAGGCAGGCCAATTTAGATCCATGAATACCAGTGGTGGGTTTCAATTTTTTTTTACTACTGGTTCTGTGGGTGTGGCTGGTGGGCGTGGCATGGCTTGGTGGGCGTGGCTTGGTAGGCATACTGTAAAATCTCCATTTCCTCCTGATCAGCTGGGACTCGGGAGGCAGAGAATAGATGGGGGTGGGGCCAGTCAGAGGTGGTATCTACCGGTTCTCCAAACTACTCAAAATTTCTGCTACCGGTTCTCCAGAACTGGTCAGAACCTGCTGAAACCCACCTCTGATGAATACATTGAAGAATGTCAATCTACAAAAAATGATAACAAAATTGTTACTTGTTTCTACTGAATGGTTTCCTTGATCCTGGAAGATCTATATTGAAAGTGTACTCTACCTGTCTGATTAGAAATGGTTCCTTCTGGGCAACAGGCACATTGATAGCAGCAAACCTCTTTGCCCTCTGGAACTCTTCTCCTCTCTCCTGCATGGCACCTCTTCATGTCATACCTGGCAAAGGGCACCTTCTAGAAGAGAAAAGACAAATACCATAGATGTCTTCAGCAATGACATCTACTTTACTTATTATTTTGTCTATTTCTCTTTTCATCATTAGAATATC